AAAATGAGGACCAAGGCTCCTAGCTGTTCAGCTTCCCCCGAGCTGTCTGCCTGGGCAGGTGCAGAACCCAGTTCTCTCTGTGTATTAAGAGCCTAGATTGAGGCTGTGCAGTGATGTTTCGGGGTTTCTGTAGGATGTCAGATGACCTCTCCTGATACATAAAACTTAATGGACTCTGCCATTGCTATTTTCAGAAGTAGGACTATAAATTTCTTAAATCAGAATAGCTGCTAGGTCTGGCTGTAGCCAGATAGCTGTATGTAGTGATCCATTTTGTTTGCAATGAGAAATTTTATAGAAGAATATGTGCTTCATCCTAATTTAAACATTGTGTTTAAATTGTGTAATAGTGGCTGATCTAGACCAAAACAACTGCAAAAGCTCTGATTGGAAGGTGGAAATGTCTTTTCACTTGAAACCTTGTCTGTACCAAGACTGTGAGGAGGGGAGCATATGGCCAGGAACAAACTAATGTGGATTAGGTTTTTTTTAATCACATATTAACTAAGGGCCAGTTTATGAAGGTTAACTGGAATAAGCTATTGGACAAAACTTCCTAGCTGGAAGAAGTCAGAGCGTGCCTTTCACTGCAGGTGCAGAATGGCATGTGTAACAAGTCAGCCTTCAGAATCTGTTTTCAGAGTGGTGAAATGTGTGCATCCCCCATTCATCAGCAGCAGAGCTGACGAAGTTGTAGTTTTGCCAAGGGACCCAGAACCGATATGCATATGTTGTTCTGTGGCTGCTGCCTAACTCACTCTGTGTGCAGCGAACTCACGCCATGAAGATTTTTAGGAAGGAGTGAGTTACAGTACTTTGTTTGATAGATTTGGTAATTTCTAAATTAACTAATGGATAGTCGTAAGGCTCAGTCAAAGGAGTTGTTGCTTGCTCTGTGATCCTACATTTGTATCTCAGGGAGAATAAGCTGCAAGTTAGTTCAGCAGTCAGACTTTAGAAATGCTTTTGAAAGTCTGAGGAGCATGGCTACTGATTGCCTTCCTATGTTTTAAAAGGCAAATACAACATTGTCCTTTTTACTTGAAACTGTACTTCCTTCTTTAGCCTATTTAGAGAGAATGCAGTGATTTCTCACCTTGGCTAAAAAGACAAAAAGTTTTGGTGGTTAGTGGGTGAACCAAGAATAAGCTTCATAGAGTGTAAGACCAGAAGGGTCTGCAGAAAATGTTTTTGATGGTGAGCCATGACATGCTTGCTGGGTGCCTCATTTATCTGTGCCATAAATTCAGTACGCTTCTAGGCAGAAGTCCTGAATTGCTGGACTTCTCTTCTGCTAGTGTTATTTTTGTCTTTTTCTCATCTTGAGAAGGAAGTAGAATGCCTGCTCGTTGTGCAGCACAGTGCATAGGCAGTGCTTAAGCATCGTTCTTGTCCGAGCGCGTCTGCTTCGGAGGGGTGCGTGGGATAAAATTCAAACAGCCTTTCTGAAGGCTGGGCGTCAAAGGCCAACAGCTGCTGCCTAAGAGGAGTCTAGGTCATGCGGTTTGAGTTGCAGTTGCCTGTCCTGGGGACAAATGATGTTGAAATAACTTGTCATAAACAATTTTTTCTCGTTCACTTACTCTGATTCGGAACGCATAGCTGATCCTGATAAGAGTCATTCATGAGTGAAGAGTTTAACTGCCAGAGAAAGCAGCTTGTGTGAGCATTTTAGATCAGGAATGTGCCAACAGTGTGCTAACAATAAGAAACCTTTTCCGAGAGGGACCTGCTCCTGTGCTTCAGGAGCGAGCAGCGCCAGAGGTCTGCCGATGCTTGTTTGCTGAAGTGCCCGAATGGCTGGGTGGGATTGCTGGGGTGGGAGCTAGGTGCTTAAACATGAATTAGTTGTTTAAATATCTTTATAGACATGTGTGCCTAAGCGCAAATAATCCATAGGTTGAGGGAGGGAAAGCTCTGTGGTCTTTGAGGAATTCTGTCCTCATATTAAAATCGCCAGCCTGGAGTTGGCTTTCTGATATGCTGCTTAAGGTATTCCTCCCCTACTTTTTGATTTCTACACAGTACTTTGGGTTAGCGAGTATTTTGGGGCGCAGTCTTGGTGCTGGTCTCTGCTGGCTTCCCTGAAAATTCAGTGAAGGGGCCCATGGATCATATATTAAAAGAATGGGATGGGCTTTCCTTCTGGTCCCTAAAACAGCCTGGGCTCTTCATAAAAGACTAGATTTTGTTTTAATATTGTTTTCTCTAGCTTAGAGTGGATTGACAAGGAAGGCTTCCTGTAGGAATCTCTAATGAAGCTTGGATCTCCTGTGTATGCTTGTTCATTTTTACCTCTGGCAGTATCTTAGGCTGAGGTCAGGCTTGTAGGTTTTTTTTTTTTGCAGTTAAATGTAGTTATCTAAGCAGAGTAGCATCCCATGTTTTCTAATTCAAACACTGCAAAATATCTCTTGCTGAAAAGTATATTTGGAGAAGCATCTCTATCAGCACTGCTCTCAGTGGTTGTGGTTTTCTCACTTGCTCTGCTAGGTTCTGACATTGCAGAATCAATGCGATGAGAAATCAGCTGCTTTTTTGGAAAATTTTTATGAAAGTTCAAGTACATACTTCAAGCATTCAGTATGTACTTCATATACTTTGCTTTGGGAAAGGAATTGTAAAAATTACAATTATTCTACTGCCCTTCCTGAAGATCTCTGAATTTATTTGTTTGCAAACGTATTTACTCAGGAGAGCACTGCATTGCTTTCGAAGTTAGATGGCTAAGAAAGCTGCGGATTTCATGTGACCTAGCAGGTTCTCTTTAGATGCCTGTAAGCTTCTCTTTCATGTAGTCTTAACTTATGAATAGAAGAATTTATTTTAATGAACATGTTCCTTCATTACCAAAGTATTATGAGAAATGTTACTAGATAAAACTTTGGCAAAATGGAATTAACGATGTGATCGGCATTTCACTGACATTTAGAACTCTCAGAGAGTAGTTCTTTGGTGGGTAAATGTTGCATTACAAATACTCTCTTCGTGTGTATTATATTTTTGATATTTTTTTTGATGACACAGCAGCAACTATCCAGTCTGAAACAGTTTTCCAGCATGCGCAAAATCTGTTTCAGAGAGCTTAATGTAAAATGCTGTGTTACCATAAAAGCTGATGTCTCTGAGTGTCAGGGAAGCTGGCCAGAGCTGCTGTGTAATCAACAGCATGTGTTAAAGTTATACCCTAATTATGACAAACCATTTTGTGGATCTTTATGGAAGAGGAGACTTCCAGTTTAACTGGAAGGGGAATCTGGTCTTCAGCCAGTTCACAAGATTTACATCCATCTTGTCCTTCGTAGGACTCCAACTGAAAGAAAAAAATAGAGTCCCTATGGAAAGGATCTGCTTTGGGGAAGGAAGGCTGAGTTTGAATGTTGGTCCCTACTGTCTTCTTATATTTGATGTTGTCCAAATGCTTGTAACCACAGACAAGTGCTCTGCAAAGCACACTTAAATAAATATTGATGAAAGCATGTCTTATGATCCTCTGCATTTCTGTGAGCTATCGGGAGGTGACACAATTGTAATGCCACACCAGAATATTATCTGATGAGTTGGGGGAGTTGTTCTTAAGCCAAAAAGATTGAATCATCACATTCCTTTTAACCTCTCGGAAGTTAATAGTTGGCCTGAGTTGAACTAGTAGCTGGAAGGTGAGGGGTTGAGGTTCCTTCTTTTAATTGCAGTTCTGTTTCAGTTAACTGCAAAACTATTGCATTTTTAAGTCTGTGGAGAGCACACTTTAAAGCAGAAAAAAATAAAAAATTAGCAACAACAAAAACATCAACAAAACTTTTGTTCTTACTCCTTTGCTTCCCCACAATATTTTTTTCAAAGGTCTTCGTTGAGATGCTTTCTGTTTGCTTTTTACCTTGATACTTAAAGAATAGGAAATGTGATAAGAGAACTTAAATCTTCTTGATTCTAAGATAATTTATACTTTTTTTTTTTTTTCAGATAAAATTATTGGGTTGTGTTGGCAAGTATAAAACCAGTAACTTAACTAAAGATTCAGGAATTGCAAACTCTTTCTCTCATAATGATTCAGAAATTGTAGGCCTTTTCTTCCCAGTACCAAAGAAGCTCTTATGACACCTAATTGAAATACTGTATCATTGAAAATGTAAAAGCCAATGTTTATGATATTGTGAGCCATTAGACTTGATAACTTTTTTATTAGGAATAATAAAATTAGGAATAAAAGGTTTCAGCAAGTTGAGCCAAGTGTTTGTACTTAAATTGATCTGTACTGCAGAAATTCTGGCCTCAAGATTACCTGTGTCACTTTCAATACTCTCTTCTTTGCCTCTGTACTGGCTGTATTGTGGTTGACTTCACCTCCTTCTTAATGCTTTTTTTTCCTACGTCCTCCTCAGGAGTTGTCCTATATTCATCCCTTGTGCTGTCATTTTTTCCACTTACTCTAGTTGTTGTTTGTTTGTTTGTCTTTGGTTTTTTTTTTTGTCTTCACCAAGAAAACATGCTATGTTACAGAAATGCAATTTTTATTCAGGAAAATTGTTGCAAGAGATCCATTTTGGTCTTATACTCTGCATGTGATTAGTATGGGCTTGTATGTATAGTAGAATGTTATAGAAGTGGCGGAGGGTGGGATAGGTTCTACATAATTCACATGATTGGAGCTGCTAGAAAAATGCAAGCGTATCTGCCAATTAATTAAAATGTAAATTTAGGTAGCACTGCTTCTGTGTTTGCAGAATGTTCTTGTAGTTAGATTTGTTTTAAAAGGCTCCAAAAAACTGTTCAGAAGATCATTCAGTTTGTGAAAGAAATAGCAAGCTTCCCAAACCATTGCTTTTAGAAATATATAATATTTAAAATCAATCCTGACCTTCCAGTCTTCTAAAACAAAGCTTTTGCAAGCTTCTTTCCTCATAGATTAGGCTTGCTGTAGATTTGTAAAAAGAAATCAAAATGAAACCTAAGGAGTTAAGTATAATGTCTTTTTTTAATTATTATTTTTATTTTAATAGAGCTATCTGAAATTGAACCCAACGTCTTTCTTCGGCCTTTCCTGGAAGTGATCCGTTCTGAAGACACTACAGGTCCTATAACTGGATTGGCCCTCACCTCTGTGAATAAGTTCCTCTCATATGCACTGATAGGTATGTAACGTGGCTTCCTGGGGTTTACCAAAATGCCAGCCAAATGCATCTCCTTGCCATGTGTTTTTGGCCAGGTTGTGTGTTTGCAGTCTTAATGAGGAAAATTGGTGTTAATACTGGGGAAATATGCATCTGCAGTTTCCCAATATTATTCCTGCTGATCTTTCATGGCACTACAGTACTAAAGGCTGGAAACAAAGCCACGGCTTCTGATCTGCCCTGACGCAGACCTGCTTACAGCACACTGCTGAGCTTTGGTATTCACCAAGTACAATTCAGACTTTTAGATGCCATCTGAGTAAAAGGGTCAGGCTTGAGAAAACATCACCAAGGACTGTAGCGTTACAAGCACATGAGCAGTGAAGAGTTTTAATTTTGTGGACCAATGTTTCTGCTCTAGAGTAAGGATGTTTTTGCCCAGTCCAGGACCCTGTCCAATGGTGTACCATTACTCTTAACTTGCTGTAAGTGTTGTGGCAAAGAGAGTCTTGCCTTTACCCCAGTCAGACTTAAGTGTATCAGTTAATGGTTCTTATGTATACTCTTTGTCCCAGTATGAAGTAAAATACAGTCACTTTATTTTTCCATGGTCTTTGGGATGTGTGCATCTTTCTTGATGTTTGTGAAAGGCTAATAACATGCATGTGTAGTCAGTTGCTGTGGCTCAGCTGGCTTGTAGCAACTCATTAACTTGCTTTCTCTCTGCCTTTAGTGTGTCATTTTGCTATGAGCCATGCTTGACTTTTCTCTGTAAATTCTGTCAGTACCTTTTGGTCTTACCTGTGTGAATTACAGAATTTACAATCTACGATGGTTGTTGATGCATAATCTCACATCTCTTACCACTTCCTCCTGCCCCTCAAGTCCAGTTCTCTTAGTTCTTTTCCTCCCTTATGTTTTAAGAACACGTTTGAATTTTTTTCCTCTCCTCTTTTAAGTATTTTGTTCTCTGTAATAAGCATGAAGAAAGGTGGATCTTGCAGGAATTTGTTAACTACATTTACTGGCATCAAGGCGTGAGTTAGTGGGCAGTGTTGGGTATAATTAAATGGCAAGAAATGACCAAAATGATGAAATATTGATGTCACTTTGTAGAACAATAAAAGAATCTTAGTAAATAAGCCTATGAAATGCATCTTTCTGAAGGACTAAGCAGTAACGTAAACATTTTAGATTGGATGTGATCTGGATGGTGTCAGGTTGATATCATATCCCATCATTTGTCAAATGACAAATGTCTGCATGCTCAGCTGGTTACAAATACTTGATTTGAGGCAGAAACAGGAAGGAGTGGTTAAGAATTTGTATCTTTTGAATACTTGTTTTTTAGATTATTTATTAGATTACTCTGGGAAGAGTGTATCTCTGTAGCAGTGCATGAGCATGTGTCTGTAGTAGACAGTAGGAAAGACCTTCTGCCAGGCTTTTGTTGTGGCACTGGGCTGGTAAATGAAGACCTCGGTTCCTGCTTTAGGTGACATTCACAGTGTCCTTGTCCTTTGTGCTGTTCCAGATACCAGTGAGGCTGGGATTAGTGGTGCTGCCTGAACATCTGGCTAGGGTTGTGTTGTTAAATTAAAGCTTTTTGGTCTTACGTTTCTCTTTGTAACATAACACTAAAAGTAGTCTAAAGACTGTCTAAAGCCCAAAGATGGGAAAGGCTTAGAGCTGTCCTTAATGTACGAACCTGTTTTGAACTGTACAGAACAAGGAAGAAACAGCTCCAGCATGAACTACAGTCAGGAAAATTCAGTGTAGCTGATATTTATGGTGCTTTCTGATGCTGCATAATTGATTGGTGAAACCAGAACTTTTTCCTAGAGTGTCATTAGCTGTGTCTGTTTCATGAGTGGATGGCTTTTGCTCCACATAGTGAGCCTAAAAGCAGTTGGCAGTGAAAGGGCCAAACTCCTTTGATAGGTTATCTTTGTTTAAAGCTTCTTTCTTTTCCCTTTTCCAAAACATTTCATGGCTAATCCGTGTGCTGTTTCACTGTTTTTCTTATTGTGTCACATGTCACCAGATGGTTATCTGTCTGCTTTCCAGGCCAGGATTGCTGAGAGGCATGTTTTAAAACTACTTAAAATTAAGAATAATTATTGAGTAGCCTTCTAGACTTTACATGTCTATTAGTCTGAATTGCAAAGATCTATTCTGAATTTGTTGGATGCAACAGTTCACTGGTGGTATAGCATGCATCAGCAGTTTAGTTAGATTGGATGACTTTGTAGTAACTATGCATGTGTTTTGAAAGGAGTAGCTAGCATTACTGAGATCATCCTCTACTCTGTAGTAAGTACTGCTGTTTTACATTACTGCTGTGTTACATTCAATAAATGGCATAGTAACTTTTAAATCACAAGAAAACTTTTTGACAATACGATATTTTATTGATTGTATCCCTTGGATTAGTTATTTCCTTACTCAGCAGTTCTGCACTACAGTTGGTGGTCAGGCCTTTTTGATGAGCTCAAATATGACCTGTAGGAAAACTAGTGGCTGAATTTCAGAATTTTATTCGTTGCATTTTCTGCAGAAAAGGTATGTGCTTGTGTTGTTATTATTAGTGTGTCCACAGCAGCTTCTGGCTCCATTTCTAAAGTTAACTTTCCCTGACATACCTGAGGACTATAGATCTGTGGGCAAGTAGGTGTTGCTTGGATTCCAGAAATAGGACTTTCTGCTTGGGGAGCTTGAAGTTTGTTCTCCCTTCTGCCTTCTCTGTCTCCTTAGTGACTTATTTCAGTTGCATTAAAGGTCTTACTGAGCACCCATCTGGATTTCCCTGATGGTTAAGATGCTGAATTTTCTGCTTTTTTTTCCCCTACTTGTTGTGGAATTATACCCCATATGAAACAATCTAAGTCTATATGGGGTCTTTTGCATTGTAGTTTTCAAAAGGGTGTCTTACTTCACATAAACTTCTCGTATTATTGATTCTGAGCAGGCATTAATGCATCTTTTCGTTCTGTTTTCTCACCAGGGAACAAAGAAGCATGTTGAGCTTTTCTCTGTCTTGTTTCTGCAAAGTGGAAGTGTCTGTGCTTTTAATTGAACTCAAGAGGCTTTATAAATTGACCCGAATTTGTAGAGCTGTTCCAGGGGACCAGGAATGAAGTAGTCAGGCGTGATGTGTTTTGGGGGAGAAGTGTGTTTACTGGCATTGAATACAGGGGCTAGAACAGCAAAGTCATAGGTCTGTTAAAGAAGCATACGTACAACTTGCTTGCATTGCCTTTTCACACAGGCTATATATCCATAACATATTAAAAATATATCCCTATACCTAGGGGAATGCAGACCTGCTGGAAGAGTTTACAGTGAAGTGATTCGGCATGTTCTGCATATGGAAACTTTTCTTGATGCAGATCATTTTTTTTTTTCCTTCTACTGCTTGCTCAACTTTTTGCCACTGTAGTACTGATGCTATTGTACGTGCTGGCATTGAAATGCCACTGATTTCTGCCCCATTTAATTGATGAAGCAGGTAAAAATGGCCCTTGGTCTTAGAACAACCCCTCCTGTAAGTCACTGAGGCTTGACTAGCTAGTGAATCAGGAGGCAAACTTATTCTGAACTATGCAAAATTTGTGTGCATATGCAAAAGTTTGTCAACAGTAGGCAAGCTCTGTTCTCAGTAGGGGTGTGTAAGACATAGGAAAGAAGAGTGTTCTTCCTGTGCAGACTAATTAAATTCTTAGGTACGCAGGTAGAACTTGAGTTCTGTGTGACTACGAGAAGTTTCTTATCCTGCACCCCTTCAGAACCCATAGGGTGCTGTAGAGGCTGCTCTCTTTAGATCACAATAAGAGCAGTTTTCTATAATACGTGGCGTTTAGCCCGTGACTGTGAATGCAACTGGAGTCAGAGAGGGAGTCTGCAAAGTGTACAAGGTCTCACTTGGTTCCTCTGTCTGTTTCATTCTTGCTGGAATTCAAGAAGCCCCATTGCCAATTAATGAGGTATTAACTAGTGTTTAGGTTGTCGTCTTTCTTTTCTAGCAACTGTTTAAGTAGGAAGGTAACAAGATTCTTGCCCAGTGCTGTATTGTTTAAGTGAAAATGAAATCAAAGCCGGAGGCAACTTTTCTGAGGCCACTGTTATGTGGCACAAGATACGGTTACTAGCAACAATCTTGTCCTAAACATTCTCTCAACTGCACCATTGTTTGTAGCTACAAAAGACTGAAATAGAGAGAAGGAGCTGTGATGAATGATGGAAGCGGGAGGCCTGCAGCTCTGATATCTAAACTGTGATCGTGTCTGTTGTTTTCTCTGGGGAAAATCACTGGTCCATTCCTTCCCTAACTTTTTTTCCTTAGGAGGGATGTAGAACAAGAGACAATTTTTCCTTCTCAATCTAGTGGAACCTGTTTGGTATTTTCTCCTTATGGGGGTAAATTTGAGGTTCCCTGTGTTTAAAATGTTTTCTCTTCATTCCCAAGGAAGAACTGAGTGTACTGAACAGCAGATTGTGTTGCATTGTAGGGAATGGGAGGTAATCGTAGCAGTTAATGTCTAAAAAATGTGGAGCCAGAAACAAACTAAATTGTAATTCTCTTCTTTGTTAGATTACATGTTTTTGCAATTGTAAAAACATTTGCAAATGTTAGGCTGCGTGTTTCTGCAAATCTAAGTAGGTTCTTGATAAAGTCTTGCTGAAAGCTCCCATTACAATGTTTTTCTTTTACTAGGGGGTGAATTTTTCTCTTGAATGGGCAACTCACTCTGAGTTATGCAAATTAAGGAACCAGATGGGAGCAAAGTATCTCTGTGTAGATGTCTCCCCACAGAGGTGGTAGGCTGTAGGCGGCTTTTCCCTGTCTTACATTTTTGTTCTGTTACTCAGATCCCAGCCATGAAGGCACAGCTGAGGGAATGGAGAACATGGCAGATGCTGTCACTCATGCCCGATTTGTGGGTACAGATCATGCCAGTGATGAGGTTGTCTTGATGAAGATCCTACAGGTAAGTGCAGAGAAAAGGTAATTACCATAATGGCTGCTGCCTGTGGTGGGGCATATCCTGTTACACGGAGATGAGGAGGAGGCAGCGGTGTTTTGACTCTATTTGAGCTTAGCAACAGACTTTATTTTTAAACAGATGGCTCATATACCTGTGGTAAAAGCTTTTTCAAATGAAAATAATTAAATGATTAAATGAAATGATGTTAAATCAAGCACACTTGATAGTGCGGTGGCGTTAATAATCCTACCTTGTGGATGGCCTGCGTTTGTGAGGGATAAATTAAACATATGGAGCCCAGAAACTTAGTTTTGAGAAAAATTATTCGTAGAGGCAAACCTGTTTTGGTCTATTTAGTTATAGATAGATAGCTAGTTGCTGAATTTAAACTTTAGGTAACATGCAGCATGTTAGGTCTCTAATTTTAGAGTTGGACTGGGAGATCGTTCTTGTCTCCTAATCCGTTTGTGTCTTGGGGACAGCAGTCAGTTGGAAATGACTGCTGAAACCCTTAGGTTTTCTGCTTGTAATTCTGTGAGTCCTTGAGGAAGCCAGCCTTCTCTAGGAAGTGCATGCAAGAGTCACTGGTACCATCTGAAGTGTATGCTCTGTTCTTTGCAGGTTTTGAGAACCTTGCTGCTCACTCCCGTGGGAGCCCACCTCACCAATGAATCTGTGTGTGAGATCATGCAGTCTTGTTTCCGCATATGCTTTGAAATGAGGCTCAGTGGTAAGTTTCTTTGTATTTTCACTGCGATTACTCCTAAGAAATGATCTGGTTTCTTCAGTATTGTTTAACTACTTCTATTACAGAACATGCAGCCCTGGAAAGCTGCTGAGCTTTATATTAGCGTGTCTTTCTACAGCTTCATGGAAAATTTGTTAGGAGTTCACTGTGTAACTTTGGACTCCTTTTTTTTCCTCAGCTTTGTGGCGCCACCTCGTGATTATATTCCCATTTGCAGTAATGCAGTTTTGGAGCTGGTTTTAATAAATTTGCCGTAATCTCTGTAAACAAGGCTCGGAGGGGAGTCTGCTTGAAGAAGCCTCTTGATAATATCACACTGAGTAATGACACCTGTGTTATTTGTTTTTGTCTTCGCAGAGTTATTGAGAAAATCTGCAGAGCACACTCTGGTCGACATGGTGCAGCTGCTCTTCACAAGGTAAACCTGCTTGTGTTTGCCTCAGCATTGCTGAGATGGCCCTCTAAGGACAGAAAGATTCCACACTTCCACTTAAGAACCCTCAGAAAAATCATCCCAAATGGTCATTATTTAGAGGTGGAAGGGGATGAAAGATTTGGCAGTTTTCTCTTGGGCTGACCCTGTCAGACTTCAGGGAGACTGAGGTAGGGAAGGTTGCACGGCTTAAGGTGTCCTTTGAGGAGAGATGGACAGCTAAGTAATGAAGAGCTTTAGAATAGGAAACCAGTTCTTTGAGGACATAGAAATGTGGAAGAAAAAAAAAAAAAAGAAGAAAGTGCTCTAAAAATACAGTTCTCTTCAGGAGAGAGAATATTCTCCAGGAGAAAGAATGGATAATGTAGTGTTGGATAGTCACAGGTTGAGTTTCAAGTTCAGAGTTTTGACCTTGTGCATCAAAGAGAATTTTATACTCTTGAGATCATGTGTCTTTTGGACAAATGTTCTGCCTTTTTCAGCAACTTTCAGGTAATTATTGAGATTACTTCTTCTAAACTCAAGAAAGTTATTTAACTTAAAAACTATTTATCCACTCTAGTGAAGTAATCAGTCTTTCTCTGGGTATTCTAAAATTGAAACATACAGATATAGGAATAGTCACAGTAGGAAAAGATTACAGTCAGACTGTTTCTGAAACACAGCTCTCATAACGTTTTTTTTTTCCATTGCCACACTCAGTTCCAATAAGTTCTCAAGTATTGTTTCCTTTCTGCGCTCTGTTCAATGCACAGGATAGATGTGGGGCAGAATCAAGTGAGAATCAAGTGTTATCAAAGAGGAGAGAACATAACACTTTTTCTCCAAATGCTTATGTGAAATTGATAATGCTTTCCATTTCTTAATGTGTAAAAACTCTGTCCTTTGTGATGAGGCCTATGGATATCAAGAGATAGAAGCAAGACAAAGGCAGTGCCTAAAAGGATGATTTGGCTGTTTACTTTCTGAGTATTGCCTCCTTCTTTTTCACAGAGAAACAGCCAAATAGCATGTGAAGCACCTCTCACTTAGCCCTGCTTTTCCCCTCAGAAATTTTTTGGCAGGAAAAGAAATCAAGAGGACTCTTTTTTTGTGGAGAAAACCTAATTTTACTTTTCAGTTAGCTGCAGCGTGACTAGAAAGACCGTTGTTTTTTTCCTCCTCCTTTCTTAACCCCCCAAAACTGACGTATTTTGTCTTGTTTTTGTCTTTCAGGTTGCCTCAGTTTAAGGAAGAGCCTAAAAGCTACATGGGAACTAACATGAAGAAGGTAAGACTAACTGTTGTGCTGGCTGTTCAGCTCTTTCTTGTCTTGGGCTTGTGCTCATCTCTGTATTACTTATTTTCATCTATGTATTTCTTCATTCTCTTAAGTCTATAGTTCACTGAAAGAGCATGTTGAACTGCATTCATTTAAGTCTGTAGGATTATGTCCCCGTGGTCCAGTAGTGAATCTTATTAAGTATACTGCTGCCTCGGTAGTCATTCTGGTTTGTGGGAACAATCATAGCTGCTGTGGGCTAGAAAACCCAACGAATCTTGGGACTTGATGCCTGTGTCTTCTGATAATTTGCTTCTGCTCTCTCTCCAGCTTTTTTCTCATCTTTTCTTATTCACTACAGGTCTAATACTGAGCTCTCAAAATATAATTGCCCGGAAAGTAAAAAGGAATTTTTTGAGGCTGGTGAAACAGCATGAAAGCAGCATGAAATCGAGCTATTGTGGAAAAACCCTTGGTAGCTTCTAGAAGGGGCAGCATTCTGTAGTGAAAACCTTAGTTCAGGTGGATAATGCCATCTCAGTTAGAAGGCAAATCAAAGTAGACTGCTCTTTTCTTCTTTTTTTTTCCCCCTTTCCTTAAGTCAACAGTTTTTTGAAGTTAAATATCAGGGTTTGTTCATCAGCACTATTTCCTTCCATCCAGTACATTTTTAGCAGATGGGTTCAATATAACAGATACTGTAAATGTGGCCTCACATGCTTGTAAGTCTAACAGCTTGTTATGTGAAGGGAGGTCCAATTAAGGAATTCTATGTATACTTGCATACATATATATTCTTTCTACTCCATATAAGAAATGTCAATAAATATACAGGATTGTACTGTTAAAAGTAATTGGGCAGAAAAAAAGTGCTAGAGAAGAAAAAGCCTCTTTAAACTTTGCTTAATTATACTGTTTGTAGCATTATAATTTTTTTTTTCCCAGATGACTTGATAAAAGTATCTGTGTTTCATAAATGTACATTTCGGAGCCAATATAGCTGTGTTTTGAAAGTCTGAATACTTACTTCTAGTAATCCAAAACAAGTTTGGTGCTTTAGTTCCTGTGTAGTAATGTAATGAGAACACGATTGTTTCCTTTGCTGTGGAAGAAAAGTGACTAGATCTGTGCTGGTGGTAGATTAGCCTAAGGGAAGCTAAAAAGGATCAGTTTAATTTACTGCAGGTACAGAATTTGTCATGGTCTGTGTGCAGAAGGGGTCTAATGTGAAGGTTAACTTAAATTTGGGAAGGCTTCCCTTATCAAGGGATGGCTGCTCCAAGCTCAGATTCTCTGCCTTGTGTCTGATCTGTGCAGTTACCTTGTACTGTGTATTTGCTGTGCATGGCGGGAGTCTTCCCTGCAGCCTAGCACTCTGCCACGTTATTTGTCTCTTTGAGTTTATTTTTCCTTGTTTAAACCATGCATTTGCCTATCTTTCACAGATCTCTTCATGTCTCCTCAACAAACTGGAACTAAGTAGTGGGGAACAGCCCAAAGCCCTGAACCAATTAGAGAGGGTATTGCTCTTTAAGAACCTGAAGGTCTCTCCCTCCCTTCTCCCTTCTGACCTTACTCCCTTCTTCCTTCTCTTGTAAACACCGTGTGAGAGATTCTCCTGTTATGTGTAGCAACTCTTCCTTCACTCATTTGTCACAGCATGGCTTTTGGGGAGAATGCATGCAGTGATTGCTTTGCAGTGTTGTGGCTGCAGCTTGGGAGGCAAAGACCCTGGTGAGTGCTATCTAAGGCACGGTTGTGGCATCTTCTGAAGGAAAGGAGTAGGATGGAATGGGCAAGGTTTGGGTTTTCTGTGATGGTGAAAAACTGAAGAAAAGAAACATTTTTTAAGATAGCAACCTGCATTTAAGCTTGAATGTTTTTTAGCTGTTGATCATTGATGTAACAGAATGCCGACCTAACATGCCTTGGACATTTCTACTCAAAGTGAATCTCTGAGCTTTTTTACTTGACAAAAAGCTATAGACTCCAGCTCTATGAAGGGTTTTTTGGTTTTGATTTTTTTAAGGAACCTACTGTACATTTTCCATTTCTTTTGGTCATGTTTTTTACTGAAATTAGTGTTGTTCAAATACAGCATAAGCATTTGCTAATGGGGAGTGAGTGGGGCCAAAGTGAACTATGAAACATTTTAGACTTTGCCAGTTCCCCTCTGAAATTTCTAAAGAAATACTGTAGGCGTTCTGATTGCTTTTGTGCTGGTCACAGAAGCCCTGGGAAACTATCTTAGAAGAGACTTTCTCAGTTTTCTATATTGGTTCATGAACTTAATGTAGCTTTATTTCTTGTCTGCCTTTAATGCTATTTGGACCATAAGGAGCTGGATTGAAGATTTAGAGAGGTCTTTGCTGTTTAGCTGTCCTGTATCTATAGTCCGAGGTGATTTGGAAAGACAGTGGCTGGAGACTTGTGGATTTATGCAGTTACATGGAAAAAAAGATGAGAAACATTTCCCTTTGTGGTAGGAAGGTACTGTAGCTAAACACTGGATTTTGAGGTGTGAGTCAGGATCTGGGGAGTGGTTTTTGTTCATAGTTACCAAAGATAAATCTGATTAGTGGTTGTACAGGCAGGTAGGTGAGATGATGACTGCATTAGTGTATTCAGGACTTGGATCATGGACTGCGTTCTCTCTGCATGCTTTCATGTCTTGAACGCTACTTGGTGTGCTGACCAGTTCCATGCTGCATCTAGAATGAGCTCATGTTTTAGTATAAATCACTTTAGTTACTAATCATTGGCCCCTGCCCTTTTCTCTTGAGGCTTACAGTATGTTATGGAAAAACAAACGAGTGCAGGTAAGGTGGTTTGTAGAAAAATGGAATCTCATGGACCCTTGAAAGAACCTTGTAGTACTGCATTTTGACTTCCCTCACCTTGAGATAGAGCATTGCTGTAAAAACCTCATCTACTGGAGAAAGCATTAGGAGTCTTGTGTCTTGTATTTTTTTTTCTCTTCTAGCATTTTGTGTACATATTTCTTTATTCAAAGATAACTAAGATAAATGTAATGGAATCTATTCTGAATCCCAAGATGGATGAACAGTAACTTTGAGCGTGCACTCTGCTTTGATTTCTAAGGAAAATATTTTAAATGCAGATTTAGAGTGGATATATTGTGGGAGTACAAGCTTAATCTAATGTGAAGGACACTGATTAAAAAAAAATATGCAACTATCGTATGACTGAGCGTTAGAAAGGAGGAGGGTTTTGGATGATGTTTAAAATCCGGATTTTTTCTAATGATCTATTAAATGCCATTGCCTGTAACCTTTAGTCAAGAAGGAAATCTTAGGTTTATAATTTCAGCCTGTTAACATGCATCTAAGCTTTCTAGCACAATCAGGAAATGCTTTGGTATTGAAGGTAAAGCGAGCATTAGAAAAGTATTCCTTTGGTCAAGGGGAAACTGGAGAATATAAATATAAGAAGCAAGATATTGATCGTTTTAATTCAATACAAAATATAGAGTGGAAGAAGATGTTATTTCTGTTTTTTGATACATGTATTGTTTTAGCATCTACAAACTTAGAGTTTGTTAAAGCAGCATGTAGTCAATTCACATTAGCAAAACATTTCTGTTGAAGTGATGTTTCTGCAATTTTTTTTTAAGCTATCCAGTTGTCACTGTAGTTTTGCTATCTCATCTTTGTGGCATAGCAAAAGAGAGGGGCCAAGGAAAGATATGGGGAGTAGCCCTAAGTAATCCTGATAGTTAATCTTCAGAAAACCTATTTGTGCAGGCTGTAGAATACCGAATGGTGTGAGATAAAAAAAGACCTACTTGGTAATTGCGCTTGTCTGTAAGCACATAAATGTAAATACTTTACTACTGAATGCTTTAAAATTTAATTGAAAGTTTGGGATGGGGAAAAAAAAGCAGCCATTTTGCTTCCTTGGCTAAATGGTTTGATGTCCGTGTGAGGCTGTTGTGACTTCATCTCCAAAGATGCATAGCTTCATCAAAATGATAGCCAGTGGACATATGCTCTTTATAAACCTCAAATGGAAGAATCTTGGAGTTAGTGCAATGCATATGGCACTCAGTATAAATGTGTATTGCACACGCCTTTTCAAAAGGGCTAATGTTGATCTGAGTTGGTTTATGCTCTTGTGTGAAAGGGGAGATTGGCAGTAGTGTTCAGATTGTCAGCACAGACCTTCTGGTAGGATGTTTCAAAAGTTGTTTCTCAGGAGCATGGCTGATGCTAAAAGGTATGGTACAAACATGCTTAGCCCCGAACAATATCTTGGTGCTGTTTTGCTGGTTCAATTTCTTTTTTGTTTTATTATTATTTATTAACGTTTAACTTTTTAACTGACAGCAGGATCATAAAATCATAGAATGGCCTGGGTTGAAAAGGACTTCTAAGTTCATCTAGTTTCAACCCCTCCCTGCCATGGGCAGCATTGCCAACCGCTAGACCAGAGCCACATCCAGCCTGGCTTCGAATGCCTCCAGGGATGGGGCATCCACAACCTCCTTGGGCAACCTGGTCTAGTGTGTCACCACCCTCTGTGTGAAAAAATTCCTCCTAAAATCTGAACTAAATCTCCCCTAAATCTTAGTTTAAAACCATCCCCCCTTGTCCTATCACTGTCCACCCTCATAAACAGGATGTAGTAGTTAAAAGCAGTTAAAAGTGGTTAATTAGTTAAAAGCAATTTTGTTGTTTTGTATTTATGTGAAACAAGTGTTTAAGAGTTTAACATAAAATTATTCCATATTTCCTTCATACTTGAAGCAGTTTGGTGAAATAGACTATAGAAGGCTTCTGATCCTCTTTTATCAGTTACTAAAAAGGTTGGAACTTAAATATGGCAATTTCTAGAATAATTGGTTGGTCAAATAAAACTATCTTGTCCAATTAGCAGCCTTTTATGAATAAAGCTATTGATAATATTTAAGTCTTGGGGAGATTTTAATATGGAAGGTGAAACTGATAGACTTGAAGTAGTAGGAACTGGCAAGAATTAATGATAACAAGTATTTTATATAGCTCTTTGTGCTTGTGAATAGGAAAGATGAGATGGCAGACAGTTTTTACATTGAAAGATTGTGACCTGTAAGACTTACATTCACAAATCTACACAATTTTAGTTTTGGCTGTGTGCTTGCTATGTAAGTGTTTGTTAGAAGTTTAGAGGGATATTCTTGCTACAAAATTTGGAAGAAAATCAAAGTAGGTCTGAATCTATTGTTAATAAGCTGAAAGAAACTGTAGCATAGCTAAAACTTAGGGATTAGTTGTCAAACAAATAGAACTTGTGGTGCAAAGAAGTTACACAAATTGTAAACTACACTGGGACATAACATTTTCACAAGCTTTGTTTGAATGAGAATAATTACAGACAGAGAAAAGTAAAGATGGAAAAAGAGAAGAGAGGGAAAAACAGTGTCAGAATCTAGAAGGCATATTGATATTTAAGAGTGGTAGTAGTTGAAAAGAAAGAGATTTCAGGAAAAAAGGATTAGAGTAAGGGTTGCAGCTGTCTTCTAGATAATAAAAATCTGACTCTAAGGATATAAGAAATAAGGAATTTTATAGTCTAAAATATAATCTGAAATAATTTTTTGGAGAGGAATACCATGTAGGGACTGCTACTGGGACTTACAGAATGGTTTCCACTACCTGCAAGGAATTTATTCAGTGTTTAAATTTTCACCACCAAATTGAGGAGATCTAACAGCATCAGAAAAGTTGACTTTTAACCCAAACTCAAGAGTAAGAAGCAGGTATTCCCTGCACTCAGACAAAACTGTTTTAGAAGGAAGCTATTTTCAAACCTGCTATTGCTATTGTCAGTGTAACTAAATATTGTAGTGTTGTTAGGAAGTTTTGGAACATCTATGCATGCCTGCAATAACTGTCACAATCTGCCACAAGTGTCACAGTGTACATTGCTCTTACTGTGGTTTGTTTGCCCAATACTTGTGTAAGAACTAGTAGTAGCAACTGGGTTGATGAAAAAGCTGTGGGTTAAGTTGGATTTAGAACTGAAGAGGAGTAATGATGGAAGGAGGTGAAATGAGAACATGGCTTATTTCTAAACCATCAGAATGGTATTTGTAGTGTATCGTGCACCAGGAGTGAATGAAACATTACATAAACACTTTGTAATAGTAAAAGAGGTTGCTGGAAGAAGGAGAACATGGAATTACTCAAAGATGAAGAGTAAATTGAGACAAAAAGTGCTAGTAGAGTAGGTGCAGTAAATTGTCCCTTGTTTCAGACATAGAGTGTTGGATAATAGTGGGGAGTCAGGGGCTGGTTTGCATGTTTTTGTGTTGATTAATTTGTGTGGTATGTTTGACTGCTGTTGTCTGAGAGTTTTGAGACAGCTTTGAGGTTGACTTGTATAGTTCAGTATTCTGTCTGATTTTGCTCTACTGATATTCTTAATGGTTTATGGTTTTCAGTTGAAAATGAGAGCTGGAGGAATGAGTGAGTCATCAAAATGGAAAAAGCAGAAGAGATCACCAAGGCCCCCTCGACATGTAACTAAGGTCTCTCCTGCAACAGAACAACCAGCAGCCAGCACTAGTAATGTCACAGGTAGGTTGAAATCCATTTCCAGAGACCAGACAGCATCTGTTTCAGAGCTATCTTGGAATGTCTTCCTTTAATTTCTCTTAACAAGTTTATCTGCATTATACTTTTTTAAATTTAAGTTTTTGATGTCTGTAGCAATAAATGTGTTGCAGCTCTTCAGGTCCAGGAGAAAAAGTTTGAAGGAAATAGAATATGCATTGATGACAGAAAGCACAGCCCCCTTGCTAATATGACAGCATTTCTCTGCCTTTAGTGAGCCTCACAGTAGTTTATAGGGAAAGGAAAGGAGACCTTAAAAGGAGGCTGAGGTTGTACAAAACTACTTGGTATGGAGGAGATGGAGGTTGCCTCAGGTATGTGAGGAAATTGAGAACAAAAACTCTGGAAAGGGGTGAGCTAAGGGAGTTGAATCTGGGGAGAAACGAGTGCTAAAAAGACTGTATGATGCAGTTGTCTGCAATAGGAGATTGTTGGTCTGAGAGGCATATTCTATCATGTACTCCTGAAGGATGTACTAAATGTTGAATCAAAGAGGGTGGGGGTGATGGTAATGAAAGAAGAGCAAAGTTTGACCAGGAAAGAGATAAAGGTGGAACTAGGGGATGTGCAGAGATCTGCGTATCTGGAACAGGTGAGTGAACATATTTCTCACTACAAGTGTAAAGATAGAAAGTGTGCACCCGTAATCCATGACATTTAATAAAAGTCACAGGGCTACGCGCATTGAGACAGGGAAATATGGGGACACTTAAAACTGTTAGGGGAAGAATAGAGGCTATGATATAGAAAAAGGCATGAAGAGTTATGTAGAGGAAAAAAAAAAGGTAGAACAGTACATGGAAAGAGTTTGTGTGCAGGAAACTGTTGAGCGTACACATTAATTCTTTGGCGTGTGCTTCAATTCAGCCTGCTGAAGTGATGCAGTCTGTGACAAGTACTGTGAGCTTGAGAACATAATGCTGGGGGACTTCTATATCCTATTATTGTGTAATAGACTAAATAGTAACAGCTGTTTAAACCTCTCTTTTGGATGAGTCCCTCTGGCTGAAAAGTACTCTGTTTCTTGTGCGCTCTACATTTTGACGTCTCAGACATAAACATTAACAGTGAAAGGAAGCAGACAGGAAGTTTGAAACAATAGCTGTGTAAAATACGTAGTTCTGACTCTTATTTCATTGCAGAAACCTATTAAAAATATTGTGAATGATTGTAGGGCTAACAGTGTATTAATTGTGCAAAATGGCAAAGTTGATTGTATTAATGCATTACATTTTGAAAAAATTAAGTAACATCCTGCTACTTATTTAGGACTTCCAAAAATCAAGTCAGCAATAAACATCCCACTATGCAAAGCCATATGCATTTCACATGTAAATACATAACTCTTCTTTGTATCTTTGTTTGATTACCATGCTCTTGAGTGTATCTTCTCTTTGAAAATATTTGGTTTATTTATTTATTTATTTATTAAGTTCTCTTAAAGGGAGGCTTAGATTCTTGCAGCATTGTCTTGCATTTAGAAATAGTAAAAATACTCACTACTCTGTTTCAGACTTATGTGGATTCTATTGCAATTATTTCTTTTATGTGTTTTAAAGAAATAGATCTTTCCTTCCAGTTAAGGTTAAAAATAATAACAATAATAACAATAATAATAATAATAATCTCACTTTGAAGGAATGACAAAAACTTGATGCAAGTCTTTAAAGTGCTTGTGCAATTCTATCAGAGTGTGAAGTACACCTTTGGGGCTATTTTCTACTTTCTTCTCAATGAGAGAAACCCTCTGCACCCTTTGTTTAATGATATGAATTACCTTATTCTCTGAGTCTGTTAGATTCCAACTACTGTATTTTAATTTGGAGAACTTACAGAATCTTGCTGCATTAATTTTCTATGTTCTCTACATTAATATGTAAGTATCTGAGATAATTTGTAGTGTGATGCCCTGATTAAAGTAAGCCTTTGCTGCTGTACTCACTGTATGAACTTGAGGCTGAGGTACAAAATTATGCTGATCTTTTTGCTTCTATTTCTCATCAGCAAGCGGAGTTACTTTCATAGATGCTCCTTCTCCCAGTTCCTCTGGAAGCTCCGAAAATATTTCATCTGCAGTCAGCCCTGCTACAGACAGCGGTTTGGAAATGTCCTCACAGACCGCCTCCAAGGAAGACCTGACGGACTTGGACCCAGTCACTTCTTTGGGGCTCCGTGCAGGAACGCCTTCAAATGAGGCCAAAGTCAGTGATAATCAAAACCAGCCTGAACTCCAGGTATATGGTTGCTGATAAAGAAGAGCTGTAACTCCCAGCATCATTAGTTGTGGGTTTAATACGCACACGCTCTATTTCTTTTTTTTGGTCGCAGCGTTTATGTTGTATTTTCAGGCTTAGGGTCAGAGTAAAACATCTTCACTATAAGTGATTTGTAAATTCACAAATATATATTTTTTTTAGAACTACAGGTGCTCTGAGTGGTAAAAATGCTAAGAAGGTATAGATAGAAATCATATGCTGAGATTAAGTAGTATTTAAAACAAACAAAAAAAAAGAAGTAAATCCTAGCCTCAGGAGCAGTAAAAACTGATTGTGGGAGTATCTTCAAAGTCAAATTCTAGTCTCATAGCCTAGAATAGAATAAAATAAAATAGCTAAGAAGTAGATGGAAATGAAAGTGTTGGAAAGAGAGGGCTGCAGATTATCCTATGTAATACCTTCTAATTTGTTTTGGTTTTTTTCTTTCCTTCTTGAATGACTGATATAAATGAAGAATGAAAGTCTGAGGGAGGAGAAGATCCAGTCAGCCTCTGTTGAATCTATCCCTGAGGTTTTAGAGGAGTGCACTTCTGTAGCAGAACATTCTGACTCTGCCTCAGTTCATGACATGGACTATGTAAATCCCCGAGGAGTACGTTTTACTCAGTCTTCCCAAAAAGAAGGTGAGAGATGGCAGTGTTGCTGAAGTCTGTTCTGCTTTCCACTATTCTGTGTCACTTTCTGCTCTGAAGGTGATAAATTCCTGTTCCTCGGCTGGTCTGTGATGATTTCATTTGTAATTCTTGTGAGATAACGTAAAAAATTAGGAACAATTGTTAACAACACTGATGTGTCTCATTTTCCTTCAGGAGCAGCACTGGTCCCTTATGGATTGCCATGTATTAGAGAACTATTTCGCTTTCTTATCTCGCTTACCAACCCTCTTGATCGCCACAACTCTGAGGTGATGATCCACATGGGGTTGCAGCTGCTAACGGTAGCTCTGGAGTCTGCTCCCATTGCAAACTGCCAGTCTCTCCTAGGACTTGTGAAGGAAGAGTTGTGCCGACATTTATTTCAAGTGAGTCTGACTTGCGCTAGCATGGGGTTTGGCACTGGAGAGTTAGATACTAATTTGGATCAAACGGTCTATTGGAGTATAGCTTCTGAGCTTTGATGGATCTCAATCTGAAAGAAGCTTTCTGCTGTATTGCAGTGAGAGTTCTGAATTGCACCAGTGAAACGGTGGTGTTGCAAAGCCAAAGATGTTGTCGTGAGCCATTTTCTTTAGTCTAGGGCTGAGGAAGATGAAGCTGATTTGAATGAACTGTTCATTAGGGATAATGACATATTGATATAGTTGGTTTTGAGGTAATTATGGATGCAAGTTACTATCTTAGTAGTAGTTAGAACCTTTGCAGTACCTAGCTAGTAACAGCACAAGGGCCATCTTGGAGGCAGTTCTTCTCCCAGGTTACTTCTCCACAAAAATAATCTGATGACTTTGCAAAAAAACCCATTGTAGTAGGAAAATAGCGTTATCGCAAGCAGAAAGAAATTAAGGATATTTGTTCTCCCTTAGTAAAAATGAGACCAGGAGGCTGAATAAGGGGTTGTTTTGTTTTTCTTGTCTGTTTTAAATATTTGCTGTGGGAGACCACGTGTTGATCTCAAGACTGTCATGAGTACCAGTACTGATAGCACATAATGTGTAGCCTCTGTAATTCTTAAGGCTTTTTGTCTTTCTTGTTCAGCTACTGAGTGTTGAACGGCTCAATCTGTATGCTGCCTCCCTCAGGGTGTGTTTTCTCCTCTTTGAGAGTATGAGAGAGCATCTGAAATTCCAGCTGGAGGTGAGTTTTTTTGTGTTTCAGTATGTACCTAGTAATAGTTCCTCAGGCTTGTTAAAGCCTAGGCAATCATTTGCAGTCTGAAAACCACTGAGTGGGTAATGGGGGTAGGCTAGGTATTCCTTGTCTTGTTAGATAATGAAGCATCTTTGAGACTAGTGTACTGTAGTTGCCTACTTTCATTTCTTTTTTTTTTTTTCTTTTTTTTAAACAATGGTAGATTCAGATGCATTAAATAATAGAATTATATGAAACCTTTTTACAGATGCCTTCCAAATGAGCCAACATTGAATGTATAGGGTAATGTCAGCTCATGTGGGAAGATAATGTTTACATCTGTTTCTGTAGACCTCAACAGTATTCACTGTGCTGCTTTCCTTTCTCTAAGCTGCCCTCTGTTTCTGGCAGATGTATATCAAGAAGTTGATGGAAATAATCACTGTGGAAAACCCGAAGATGCCCTATGAAATGAAGGAGATGGCCTTGGAAGCCATTGTTCAGCTGTGGAGGATTCCCAGCTTTGTGACTGAGCTCTACATCAACTATGACTGTGACTACTACTGTGCCAACCTCTTTGAGGAGCTCACCAAGCTGCTCTCCAAGGTGCTCAACAGTCTGGTTTGTCCTTTGGCCTTCCTTGGGCTGCTAGCTTCCTGCACGGGCTTGGGGGAACATGGAGGGGAAAGGGTATGTGGAAGAGAAAGTCAGTAAGTCATAACATGGTAAACATATAAGCAGAACCTGCGAGTAGGAATGGTTGAAGGATTCTAAGTGAGCAATTTGAGACGAAGAATGCTATTTAATATTTGGGAGCAGAATAGAAAATAAGCATGAAATGTATAATAGCACAGCCGATAAACCATAAGAAAATGATGAAATATATATTAGGTAAATATCAAACATGGAAATTTTAGAGGGTTTTATTGTATGATCTAGGGTTCACAAAGCTGAAAGGGGAATGTCCCTTCCTCATTGTGGATATATATATATATATATATATAAAAGTTGTCTAATACTTGTGCATTTTCTTTCCCAGAATGCCTTTCCAGTTTCTGGACAGTTGTATACAGTCCACCTGCTGTCTATGGAGGCATTGCTAACAGTGATAGATAGCACAGAGGCACATTGCCAGGCCAAAGTGCTGAATAACGTACATCAACAAGAGAAGGAAGTTGCCAAATCAGGCCCAGAAACAATGAACAGCACCAAAGAATCGAGCAATAGTAAGATACCCTTCCTTGATATTTCGATATTAAGCTTAATATTGTGCTAAACACATGAATCTCATTCTGATAATCTGTGTATTAATCTTCATAAATATATTTTCAGTTTTCCTGTTTCATGTTTTGTAACTACCCTCTGGTCTTTGTAACCTGCCTGTCAGAACAGGGCCTCAGTTCACTGTTTGAGAATGATTTAATACTTTTTTCTATTTCAGATCTTACCTTTTAGAGGATTTAGAAACCTCTTAGAGATGGAATAATCTTAACAATCTTAAGCAAAAAAAATAAATCTCTTTTTTGTTAAATTAAGAAACTAGAACAGGTAGTTAAATTTTGTATTGCTAATTGATCAAAACAGCACATGCTTTTTCATGTCTCTGAGTGGAAAAAAAGAATTACCAAGCTTGACTTTGCTTAATATGTACTTGTGAATAAGACTAGAATTTTTTTTTTTGCCAGCTTCTTCTTTGACCTCGATTTGTATCTGTTTGAGCATTAGTGTACTGAGAAGCTCTTTTCCTTATTTTCCTATGGAAATAAGACAGATGTCTGCTATGTTTGTTGCTTTGATGCTTATCACAATAGTGATAGCGATGAAACTACTTTGTCTCTCATGATTTTGTCTCACATAAAGAAGTGAGGTATCTAGTTCCTGGGTTAGCACCCACGCCGCCCAGCACCCATTCCCTGTCTTGCTTGTTTGAGTAAATAATATGGTGGAAATAAAATTCAGAGATATTAAAATGTGCACCTCATTAAGTTTTATATAAAGGCCCTGCCAAAACTGGCAGGCACAAGAAAAGGGGAGCATGCTGTGGGATTAATGTAAACAAAGTATTGAGAACACTGAGGAATCACAGCTACTGCTGTAGCTACAGCTACTGGAGAGGGGAAAATCTCTTAAATAAGCACAATTTTGAGTGGTCAGTTCCTTATTTCTTTGATATCTTTTTCCTTGGCTTATGTATTTGTGAGAATTTTTTGTTTTGTTTTTAATTTCTGTAGATAATGAGAGAGCACACAGTGAGGGAAAATCCACTACTGTAGTCTCAGAGCCAAGTGGGGCATGTCCTCCCACCAGTGGTTGCCTTATGGCTGATCAGATGAAGCAAGGCCTGGAATTGGAAGGAGGAGGTGAGACAGGTAATAAACTCTGCAGGGCCCTAAATCTGAGTGTGTGTGTACTGAGAGTGGTCCTGACATTTGCTGGCTGTTTTTACTATGCCATAGACTACTGCAGCTATTTTGTGCTTATAACTGGAAAGAAATATACTGGTGACTATTTGTTTTATATTTGTTCTATGTATGCCTACTAATAGTTCAGTTTCTTCTGGGAGAGGGTTTAGATCTGGTAGGCTGCTTTGGAGCAAAAATGGATGACGTTCATCCCAAAGTTTATAATTTAAGGTAGTCAGGGATTTTCCAGGGAATTAGTAATGTGAGTAATCACAGTAGCCAAAAAGTTAATTCTTATGATTATGTAAAACTGTCCAGGAGAAGAAACTACTGTACAGCTGTGCTGCTGAAAATGTGAGTAGAGCAGTGTAGTAGTTGTATAGTAGGAATGTGACTGCCATCTGTAAGGCAGCATGTTGCAGCAAGGCTCTATGACTGAAAACTGTGATGTGACAGTTGGGCGTCTTGTTTCTCTAGGGATGTTCTTGACTGTAATCATAATTTGTTCTTCTAGCTGAGAAGAGTATCCCCAAGAAGCCTACCCGATTTTCTTGCATCCTTCCAAGCCCACAGGAGCTTATGCAGATTAAAAACAAAAAGAAGGTATGTTTGGGGATGTGTTATGGTGTGTTCTCCTTGTTGCCTGTGCCCTGTAAGCTTTGTATGACTGGTCAAGTCTCAGAAGTTTTGAGTTCCAGTCGCTGCTGGTAAGAGTTAAATAGTAACTTACTGAAAATTCCACTGTACTGCAGAGGCAGCAGTGATTATTATCTGTTCTTGTTACTTAGTTGTGCTGAGTTGCAAGGAGTTTAGGAAAAATTTCTTGTCCCAGTGTATGAGGCAGATTCACCTGAATTCTGGATAGGAAAGTTCCTGTGTCTAATTTTCATTATATGGGGTTAATCAGCAAATTCCATCAAAAAGGGCACATTGCCTACTCTTGTCAAAGTTGTCAGTGGGGAGTATATTGAGAGGCCAGTAGCAGTAGTGCTAGCTAGCTTAGTATTCTGTTTAGTCTCATATTTGTTTTATCATGAAGATGACTGAAAATATTGTCTTGATTGTGGTAAAGCTGGTCTAATGTAATTTTTTTTTTTAGCTTCGTTAATCTAGGCTATGGTCTAAACTCTGTACATCTCTGATCAGAGATGATTGTATTCTCTTAAGTTTATTTGAACAAATACTGAAGAAATTACAACAGATCTTTTGCTAATGGCATACCAATCTACTTAGTGATCCACTCTGTGAGCCTCCAGATAGGAATGTATTTTAAGTCATTGGTTTCTCTCTAAAAAGTTTGCTGCAGCGCTGAGGATCTTAGTTCTTTACCTACATTGCAGTGCTGTTCTGGGATAATGCTAAATGACTTCTTGAGCACATTAGGGAAGATGCTTGTCAGCAGAGTCTTCAGAGGAACTGCTGAGTTTTGACATTAGCTAATTTCGGTTACTGTTTCAGTTGTAACTTCTTGTGTTGCTTTAGATCTAGCTTTCAAGGCAGCCTTGGTGATGAATTTTGTGTGAAATTCAGTTATTGAGGGATACCTTGTATAGTACTTCTACTCTTCTAAATGAAAATTTCTAATGAGACTCCAGCTTCAGTATAGTGGAAAACAAGGCTAGAAGAAATTAAGAGCATTGCCAGTGGCTAGTCCCTGCAATAGCTGGGAGTTCCCTAAATAAAATTCCAGGAGCTTCCAGAAGAAGTACAGGACACTACAGCAGAATGCAGAAATACTGTCACAATCTCTCTTAGTTTGCCCAAGGAAAATCCTTTTCTGACCCTAAATCTGGTAGTGATTTCATCATAAGTGTGTAAACAGGGCATACACAACGTTCAACTTAAGAAATGTTGATGCTGACATGGCACTAGCTTGTTCTGCTTCCTTTAACTAAAAAATAAAAATAAAAAAAAAATTACCACAACTGGAAGGCTGAGAAAGCTAAATAAAAGCAGAAAACACATTATGCATCAGATGGAATGGTTTATTTTTTTTTTCCAAAGGCGGTGACCAGAAGCTCAGAGGCTGTAGGATTGATGTGATTATAAATGCAGTGCAAATGGCCAGCAGTTTGATCTCCTTTCACATGGTCTTAAAACAAGTTCTGTTACGTTCTATATAACAATAGAATACCCTTGGGGCTTGTTCTACAGGATTTATTGCTGAGCAGAAACGCTCCTAGTGCCTCAGTCCCTTCAGACCTAACATAATGGGGCAGTAATGGTTATTATTATATTACACCCTCACTGGGTTTCTTGTGCTGTCTGTGCTGCTTCAGGAGTTACGTGTTTCACTGATGTTTGAAGATGTTCACACAGGCGTGCTCACAGGCAGGAATCAGAAAATTTGGTGGCTTCTCAGTTATTGAGAACCCAGGGGAGCTAGTAATCATGATGGTCATGAGTTTAGTTCACTAGGTCATCACTAGCAGTTTGATCGTGATAGGCGCTAACATGGAACTGACATTTATTCTAGTGCCTTAGTAAAGTTCATACAGTTATTTGTGCTTTTGGTTTTTCTGAACACCAACAGAAAATTCAGTTAACCCTTTCTCAGTCCGGTGTTCTATTACACTGACTGTGGTACTGTCCGGTTTATTCCCTTCTGAACTAAAAATGTACTCACTCTTTCCAGCCTCCAGGTAGCCTTGCCATGCTAGAGCATCAGCATGGTTCTTGAAAGCACGTCTCATGCAGAATGTTGTCTAGTGCTTATGCTTTTGTAGCACTTCTTTCTCGCATTGATTAAAAACTGAGGACTCTTGTTACGTGCCATGCAGTGAGGTAGAATGTGAGAGCCTGGAGCCAAAGGGGACGGACAAGAGCATGGTCTAGTGCTTCCAGTGTAGCTGGAGAGAGCTGATCTTGCCCATATGTTTGCTAAGGTCCTTTCTCTGCACTGTTTATGTACTGGAGTAGGTGAGTCATTTGGAGTAGCAGAGCAAATTGCTCAGTGAAACTTCTAAGCTTTTCATATTTAGTCTGTTGAGTATGACTTGATGCTGAGTTCTTGTGATGAATACAGATCTTCTGTCCCTGGTTAGCCTTTCCCACTCACACAGTGTGATAAACTTGATCATGCTAAGGTTAATCTGTTTTCTACTTAATGCTTTTGCTTCAAATGCTAAGAACAATCTAAAGTAAGAAATGCATTTCAAGGCTGTAATTGTCAGAATGTTGTCTTCAGCTCCTGATAACTGGAACAGAGCAGTTCAACCAAAAGCCAAAGAAAGGGATACAGTTCCTGCAGGAGAAGAACCTTCTTGCCACTCCCATCAACAATAATGAGGTGGCCAGATGGCTACGGGAGAATCCTCGCTTGGACAAGAAGATGATTGGGGAGTTTGTGAGTGATCGTAAGAACATAGATTTACTGGAAAGCTTTGTTGGGTGAGTATCTTTATGTATCTCTTTAATCATGAAGGAGTGAAAGTTGAGTTCAGTGATAAATTAAAATGTAGTACAACAGTAGTTCCTGGAGGCATGGGATCTATATTGCTTGGTTCTCTGTGTACTAGCATGCCTTAATTCTGTACATCTCTCGTATATGGCTAACACCTGAGATGCTTATGATAGTATGACACTCAAATTGTTTTCAGTAGGGCCATTCTTTGTGAAGACTACCAAGATAATTAAGAATTTCTGTAATTATTAGTGGTTCTTTGCTGTATTTTGCCTGCTCACGGTATTTTTCTTTGTTCTTCATCCTCCTTTACTATCTATTTTCAGTGAAATCTGCCATTCTGATGTTGAACCAAACAAGACTGTAGTCAGTAAGTCTATCCTGTCTTTACTGTCCCATTTCATTTTCTCACTGCATTTCATTCTTGTTGCAGGACTTTCAGCTTCCAAGGTTTAAGACTAGATGAAGCTTTACGACTTTATTTAGAGGCCTTCCGATTACCAGGGGAGGCACCTGTAATCCAGAGACTGTTGGAAGCCTTCACAGAGCATTGGAGGGTGTGTACTTGCTGGGTAGAAAGCTCAAACACTGTTTCTTTTGCATCTGCCTTGATGGACCTGACAAATCAGACTGCCTATATAGAATCACCAAAGTTGGAAAAAGACCTTCAAGGTCATCCAGTCCAACCATCCACTTATCACCAACAGTACTCACTAAACCATGTCCCTCAACACAAAATCCAAACGTTCCTTGAACACCTCCAGGGTCAGTGGCTCCACCACCTCCCTGGGTAGCCCATTCCAGTGCCTGATATATAAGCTTACTGTGTGCTGCAGATAGTAGCTGTTATTTTGTAGGAGGTAACAGTTGTACATGCATTTCCATTTTGTTTTTTGAAAACTATAACCATAGCCTGATTTTTTATTTTTTTATTTTTATTTTTTAGTTTGTCCAAGAGATTATTTAGTGCTGTGGATAGAAAAATGGTTATTTTGATCACTGTTATATCCCTGTTACTGTAGAACTGACTTGTGCCTGTATTTGCCTTTCAGAAATCAAATGGATCCCCATTTGCTAATAGTGATGCCTGCTTTGCCCTGGCCTATGCAGTTATTATGCTGAACACTGACCAGCACAACCATAATGTCCGCAAGCAGAATGTCCCAATGACTCTGGAGGTGAGTGCTAGCAGCATAGGCACCTGTCTACTCTTGTTTTGTTAGCAGAGAAATATCTGGCATTCTCGGAGGTTTTTTTGTTTGTTTATTTCCCCTGGTATTCATGGCTCATGTATGCAGTAAGCTGGTGGACAGCACTGAGGTTGAGTATGATTGGAGAGGAGAGCTAGAGGTAAGGGACAGTCCTGTGGGACAGGACTTTGTGCTTAGCAAGACAGATTGGCAAGTTAGTCAAGAGGCTTCTGTGCCTGAAAAAATGGTAAACTAAGACAGAGTAAGAATGAGAAGATCACTGAACTTTTCAACAGCTCGACAGTCAGGGCTTTGAGAGAGTTCAAGTCCTATGACTGTCAGTGTGCAATACAGACCTGTCACTGATGTCCAGCTTCAGCTAAGCATGTGTTCTGTTATCTTTGTTCTTTCAGAGTAGGGTGAGTAGAGGCAGGAGCTGCTGTGCACTGCCATGCTGCTAAGAATAGCATTTTGTCTTTGAACTTTGAGGACGCATCTTGAAGAATGCAGGAAAATCTCCTTCTGGTCCTATAGAAAGCAAGTGGAGTACTGAATGAAGCCAAGCAGTTCAATCTGGAGATACTAGGAGAGTTACATCAGTGTTGGTTTTTTTTTTTTCCCCAGGAGTTTCGGAAAAACCTGAAAGGTGTGAATGGAGGCAAGGACTTTGAACAAGACATGCTGGAAGACATGTACCATGCCATCAAGTAAGAATCAACCTGACATCTCCTTGTATGCGATAAAACGTTATTTGGAGTTATTTGGTCTGTGAGATCTTCAGTGACCACAGAGAGAGGCTCACTGATCATATTTGCTTCAAACCACCTTCCAGTTCCATGTGGGACTGGAGTAACAAGCAAGTCTACAATAGACTTGTATCTTTGGATTCTCACCATGGTATTTTAATCCACAGCACTTAAGCTAATGTTAAAAAATACGCAACTTCTTTCAACATGCATAATAATGGCTGAGCAACACATGAGAAATTTTAAACTAAGAAGCCTCTGTCCTCCAGGCCAGGCATTTAGATTTCTTCAGAACATTTGTGCAGTGCCAGAGATAGCAGTTCATCCCCAGGACAGTACTGTTGCCTTGACATAACTGTCCGGGTCTTAGTAGCATATTTCATTTCAAAAGCTTTTCAGCTTTTCATATGAGTCTACTTTGTACACCCAATCTCTTCTGCCATCCCTGAAGCTCTTGGCATTCTGACCAGTGTTTGAAGAGAATTCCTGGTGGCTGAAGCCTTTTTGGGCACGAAGTAACTCTGAGGGGGGGTTTTAGTAATAACTCAGAAATCTACCCTATCGGTAAATCCAGACACTGCAAATTTGAAGCTGAGAGGATTATGTCTCTGAGGAGACAGGATATAACTCTTGACTCTCAGCTGGTTTCAATCTGCAGTTGCAGGCAATGACATGCTGGAAGCAGGACAGGGTACTTATGTTGGGCCTCTCTTTTGAGCCTTATCCAGGAAGATGGGGATGCTGCCTGTACCAACTATCTAGAAATTGTTTGAATTGACTCAGTCTTTCAATCAAATAGAGTTCTGGTTTTGATTGACCTCTTTTTCCTGAGAGTGTTGTTAATGTTGTTTTAGTAGTATCCTGAGAATATTGTCATATTTTTCAGTGAGATTCTGACTTTGTTCCAGTCTGCTTCTATCCTTCCTTCACCAAATAACTCAGCTTTTCCATTGTGATCAATGCCTAAATCAATGGCTACTGCTCCACACCAAAGAGATTATCGTACTGTCATAGCTGAAATTGAGGGGTATTATTAGGAAAATAAATTAGACTATAATCTGTATGGAATAATACATGATCTCTTCAGGATCTTAGCATTTCACTTTTGAGTAGAGAATTTCCTGAGACCTTCCAAGTAAAACTCATTCACTTGCTTCTGTTAATACTAACAAAAAAAGGATTTGTTTGGAAAAAAAAGTATGCTACTGACTACTAACACATTTTCCTGTGTAATCTCAGTAATGATTGCTCTTGTCAAAATAACACAGCTACCTGAAACTGAGAAGAGCTTATTTCCTATGCGTAAACCAAGGTATTTCTTTTATAGGTACCGTTAGCACATGAAAATTGCTTCTTTGGCAACTGAAGTACATTATTTTTTTTATTTCTATAGATTGACCTCTGTTTTTTGGATTGCCTAGTCTAATATTTTGACTAGATTTGAGACTATCCTCAATTACTTGGTCATTTGGAGAGAATTATCTCTTGTGCAATGTTACCCAAGTTTAGGGAGTATGTATTTTAACCCAAGATTTCAAGTACTACTTGGCATTAATCATAATTGTTTTATTATTGCATAGTTTTAATCAAGTTAGAGTAGGGAGCTGTAGTACCCTGGGTATGAGTCACCCATTACACATTTGATTTCTTGCTTTGTTTTGAATTTGTTGGCTTTCTGATATTTAATTTTGACATAATTTGAATATTCTTATTCCTATACAAAGTTGCTCATACTATTTGACTGCTGTGGTATAACAAATTTTTTATTTATTTGAGAGCAATGAGATATGCATAGTGCTCCGAGTGGATGAGAGGTGGGGAATGTGAAGCTACACTAGCATGCTGTCAGAAGTTTTCCAACATTTAACTACAGAATATGTTGCATTTTCCACCTGCAGGAGGTAGCTGCTTCTTCCATACTAAACACTGTAGTGACCCAGAGTTCCTGAGAGCTACCACACTTTATATCCAAGGTATTGGAGAGGGGCAAAGGAAGCAAGCAGGCTTTAGAAAAGAGAATGTTGCAGGAACTGGCAAAATCACTCCAGAGTAGATATCAATTAACTTTGGGACCATGTAATGAAAGGTACTGTGTAAATGTTATGTTTGGCTCAGAATGAAAAATTCAATCTTTCTGCCTTCCTCCCTTGTAGAAATGATGAGATAGTGATGCCAGAGGAACAGACGGGCCTGGTGAAGGAAAACTATATCTGGAATGTCCTGCTGCATCGTGGTGCCACTGATGAGGGAATATTTCTCCATGTGCCCCCTGGAAGCTATGACCATGATCTCTTCACCATGACATGGGGGCCAACCATTGCAGCACTTTCTTATGTTTTTGACAAGAGCTTAGAAGAAACAATCATCCAGAAGGCTATCTCTGGTTTCAGGTAGGTCTTAACATTTGTGAAACCCAGAAATCTTAGTTTGATTATTATCTTGTCTGTCTGCTGAAGAGGTCACAATGAATACCAGCTGTTACTTTTCCTAGCAATTGAAGAGCTTTTTTTTATTATTATTATTATTTTTTAATTGTGGCCTATGCTCTCCTGGATTTGTTCTTTTGTTAATGTTGATTCGCCTCATCTTGGCCTTTCTTAGTGCAACTGGCCACTTGGTTTGACTGGTGTGTTGCAGTAAATTTGAGTGCTTTGGGGTATGTATTTTTAAATTCCGGCATAGTTACATTTAGAAGACTTGCTGACACAGCTGTACTGCTTAAAAGTGAAGGGAAAATACTACTACCTTGCATAGTGATGCTGACAAAGTCCTGGGATATCAAGAAAACCTTTCATGAACTTGTGTATATGAGCCCATTGCTGTGGCTGGATGGGATAGAAATTGTTTGTTTCTTTCTGGTTTTTGTTTGCTTGGGTTTTTTTGTTTGTTTTTGTTTTTGCTTTTTTGTTTTTGCTTTTTTTTTTTTTTTTTTTTTTTTTTTTTTTTACCTTTTTCCTGTTTCTGATCAGTGATGTTGTTATCTTTGAGATGCTGCATTGAAAAAAACCCTGGTTGTGCTTGAATGCAGACCAAGCCATGCCTTAAGTGTAGTTTTAAAGCTCTGTTAATATGCTACTGTAGCCACCGTCTCTTGGAAACAGCAGGTTTAGTTGAAGGTTTAATGTCAGCAACTTCTTATGTCAAGACATGAAATTTGGCATATTGGCTCAGCTGCAAGTAGTTTGTCTGTTTGGACTTGATTCTTGGAAGTGATCCTGGCATAATCACAGACAAATATCAGCGGTCCAAGACTGAAAGATGATTTTGATTATATGATGGATAATGGACTCTATACACGAGCATTTGTTACGAGTTGGTAGAGAGGAAGGTCTAAAATGTCAACGAAGAGGCAGTCTGATTTGCTGTCTTGTACAGAGACCTCTCTGCCAAGTTATTACAGTGTTTTCTGTGTTCTTCTTCCCCTAGGAAATGTGCAATGATTTCTGCTCACTATGGCCTCAGTGATGTATTTGACAATCTCATAATTTCTCTCTGCAAGTTTACAGCCCTCAGCAGCGAGGTAGGTTTGCAAGGAGGGGAAAGAAGTATGTTTTTTAGTATGTTGGAGCTCTCTTCTTTTGTTAAGTAGTATAGTTGGTTTATTTTAGTTATACCAGTATCTGTAGGTAATTATCAGCCCCTGTCCCGAGTTTTCTGGTGAAGGCAATGAAAAACTGTGTGGGAAAGTAGGAGTTCTGTTGCACAAGTCCAAATAAGTGTATTTCCTACATACTCACAAGTAGCAGTTCATATAAAACTGCTTATTCCACCTATTTCATATGAGGAAACTTAGATCTCCGTGTAAAGACAGCGATCATCCATACTCCCAAGTGAGTTTATGCATTTCAGTTATTAAATATTTGGTTATAGGGCATATGCAGTGCCAAGAGGGACTGTTTTGTGATCGGTTCTCTGTAAGTGTAGGGGCTCTGCATCCGTGCAGCATGAAGTGGTTAGAAAAACATGTTTTCAATCGTTCATTGGGATCAGGAAATAACATCAGCAGTTTGTTTCACCTTTAGCAAGAACTTAAGCACTATTTCTGATACAGTCCAAGGTACAATGATTGATTTAATCTTTTTTGCCCAGATCTTTTTGTGTGGAACATCATCTGCCTAACTTTTTTCCCCTGAGATTTTTGGTAGGTAGTATATGGCAGAAGGTGCTAGGGAGATTTCAACAATTCCTTTCTAAGGTCAAACATATAAAGAAGTCTACAACATTGTTCTTGGAACCTGTACAAGACCCACAGTGAGCAGAACAGAGTTTTGCCGAATTGCGCACACATACGCACAAAAAGGAGTGGGGCTGGAACAAGATCTCTAGAGAGTGAAACTATGCGTGTAAAATGGCCCAAACAGATGATTTCTGAAATCTTTCAAAGGGATGGTGGAAAGAGAACAGTCCTGCAAATTAGTCCAGTTAATGGAGTTTGGCTGTTCCAAAACTGTATGGAAAAGCAGAATTATCTGAAGTGGATGTTTTTTATATTGCTCACATCCTGCATTGGTAGCAATGAAGGAGCACCAGATTGATTATTAAAAGACAATAAACAGAAAGCAAAACCCTCAACACTCAAGCAGTGGAGTTGCTTTTGATTCCCTTTTCCTGCACATCTCACTACAGTAAAGATGAAATACTTAATCCTCTCCAGGCATCGCAGATTTTGAGACTATCAGCAGATTACACGAGGAAAGGAATGTCTGCTGTGAAACAACTGTTTGACACAGGTTTACACAGTAGAAGCAACTAGACTAAGCCCTCAGAGGCACCAGCTATTGCCAGCTGCATCCCATCTAGTTGTGAGACTAGAATCTAGAGCAGTCTTAGGTCTGTGAAAATTAAGCAACTATGCCTTTTGCAGACCAGAGCCACATCCAGCCTGGCCTCAAATGCCTCCAGGGATGGGGCATCCACAACCTCCTTGGGCAACCTGTTCCAGTGTGTCACCACCCTCTGTGTGAAAAAAAACTTCCTCCTAATATCTAACCTAAACCTCCCCTGACTCAGTTTAAAACCATTCCCCCTTGTCCTATCACTATCTGTCCTTGTAAACAGCTGTTCCCCTTCCTGTTTATATGCACCCTTCAAGTACTGGAAGGCCACAACAAGGTCTCCCTGGAGCCTTCTCTTCTCCAAGCTAAACAAGCCCAGTTCCCTCAACCTTTCTTCAGAGGAGAGGTGTTCCAGCCCCCTGATCATCTTAGTGGCCCTCCTCTGGACCCGCTCCAAGAGCTCCATGTCCTTCCTGTACTTGGAGCCCCAGTCCTCGATACAGTACTCCAGATGAGGCCTCACAAGAGCTGAGTAGAGGGGGACAATCACCTTCCTCTCCCTGCTGGCCACCTCTTTTAATGCAGCCCAGAACACAGTTGACCTTCTGGGCTGCAAGCGCACACTACTGGCTCATGTCCAGCTTCTCGTCTACCAGGACCCGCAGGTCCTTCTCTGCGGGGCTGTTCTCCAGGAGATCTTTTCCCAGTTTGTATAAATACCTGGGGTTGCCCCAACCCAAGTGCAGCACTTTTCACTTGGCCTTATTGAACCTTGTTAGGTTTTCATGGGCCCACTTCTCCAGGTCCCTCTGCCACTTCCCAAGCTAGCTCACACTGGTGATCAGGTGTCCCCACTGAGCACTGCAATTGCTATGCATAGCCACTTTCTTTAAAAGAAGAGGAATAGAAAAGAATATGGAGGTGATTAGCTCGCTGTTAACTGGTGTTCAGAGCACCTTTACATGTCCAGAATGGTTTTGGCCATAGTTTCCATCTCAAACAGTAATGGTTGCAGCCAGAGGGGCAGTGATACCTTATTTTGAAGCTTTGATTCTGGAGTGAGTTCTCATAGCACAATAAGTTAGTGTTATTTGTAATTTTGCAGTGAGCACTTTCAAAGTGTTCTGTAGTGGAGAGCTTAGGTCTAAGTGTCTCAGTGATTTAGCTTGCTCTGGAAAGCCACCTTGTCTTTGTTTCTGTGTCAAGCAAATATGAGCTGAGTTAGTTGTCCACAGCACTGTGCAAAGAATTGCTGCCTTTTCTGTAGTCAATTCTGATCAGTCTGCTATGATTTCTGTTGGGAAAGAAACAAGTCTTGCTGACTGCTGCCCCTTTTCTTTCCTTTAGTCTATTGAGAACCTGCCGACTGTTTTTGGAAGTAATCCCAAGGCCCATATTGCAGCAAAGACTGTGTTTCACTTGGCCCATCGCCATGGTGACATTCTGCGGGAGGGCTGGAAAAACATCATGGAGGCCCTCCTGCAGCTTTTCCGAGCAGAACTGCTGCCCAAGGCCATGGTAGAGGTAATCACAGCCAGCTCACGGGTAGCTGAAGACTCAGGGAGTGGGAAGCTGGCCTTTCATAGAATCAGTTCAGAGTGGTGGAGAGTTCCCTTGCAAAGAAGGCCTGGATTTGGTGAAGTGTGTACAGATCTAGAAAGCTATCAAAAAGTGTAATGTTCAAGTAACATGCAGGCTCATCTTGTTTCACAGCATTTATTTTTTTTTTTTTCTTATTTTTGTTTTTGTTGTATTTGAGAAATTCCACCATTCATTTTATTTGAACAAATTTTGAATATTGTGCAGAAGAGAGAGTGCATGAGGTATTAGAGTACGGTATATTAGTATTGCCAGATGGTGGAGAGGTGTGACTCTATGGGTAGAGGGGTGAAGAGCTGGGTTTGGTTGGCTCGGGCAGGTGCTTGGGTGTGGTATTTCATCATTAAGTGAATCGTTGTAGGGGCAAAAGCAGGCTACAGAGAAGTAGAAAAGTGAATATATACTTGTTCTGGTCTGTCTTCCAGGTTGAAGACTTTGTGGATCCCAATGGTAAAATCTATTTGCAGCGTGAGGAGACACCGTCTAACCGGTGAGTGGAGCAGATAGCTCAGGCAGTCTTTTTTATCCTCCTTAGTCCTGGAAAATAGTATACCATTTCTTTTTCTTCTTTAATGTTTTCTTACTGATGCTGATGTCTTTTAATTTGCAGTGGTGAATCTACAGTGCTGAGTTTTGTTAGTTGGCTCACCCTCAGTGGGACGGAGCAATCTGGCATGAGAGGGCCATCTACTGAGACACAGGAAGCAAAGCGAGCGGCTCTGGAGTGCATAAAGGTAAAATACAGGCTGTGAAAGAACCTGCTTTTGTTTGTGGTGACAGTATTATGTGGATAACAGGTAACAGAAGCATAAACATGGATGTTTCTAGGCAGTATTCCAGGCTCCCTGAGGACTTGGGAAACATAATAAAGAAAAGATGAGTGAGTCTGCATTGCCAGCTATAGGGTCTTATAGGATATGATGTACAGACGTAGTAATACTTGAAAATAGAGATGGTTTTGCACAAGAAACTGGGATCTGCCCTTGGCATCACTATGCTATAATTAAGCACAAATTTATTAACTCTCAAATGACTAATCTTTTCCAAGACAAAGCAGTCTGTGGGCAGATGTTCCTTTTTAAAAGGCAAGGAGTTACCTGATAAAAATCCGTCTAGCGCTGTTGGAGGATAATTGATGTTAAAGGATTGAACTAGCTTTCAGGAGTTTTCCTCCAGGTTGCTGTGTTGAAACCTCTCTCAGTACCTACTGCAGCAGCTGCAGCAGCATGTGGTGTTTTGTGGGGGATCTGTTTGTATGCCTTCCCCGCCTTCTGGATATATCTTTCTCTTTTCTGTCTTTCCCAGCAATGTGATCCTGAGAAGTTGATCACAGAAAGTAAATTCCTCCAACTCGAATCTCTCCAGGAGCTGATGAAGGTGAGAAAGATACTGGGCAGGGGACAGGATGGGTGATGGGACAAGTCTGCTGAGTGAGCATGCATATGTGTTGTATACTCATCTAGCTCCTCTACCCTCAGAGGATGTCTTAAGCCTATTTGGGATTTGAAACCAGCCATTAGTTTGTCTGTTATGTTGGCTGCCTGCACAGAACTTACACATTTGTTTAGTAGCAGAGAAAGACAGTAAATTGTGAAAAACATTGTAAGAGTCTTTTGGTAACAGAAACTGTTTGAAAATGTCATGTGCCACCTCAGTTCTGGAGGAAGATTTTGCTCTTAGTTCTCTTATGTCAGGAACTCTTCCCTTATATGCAAGTTGTTGGCTTGTGGATAGTCACTTCTAGGTATGCCTGTCTTTTCTGTGCTTCAAATACGCGTAATAAGAAGCTGCTGGCTGCCAGAAAGCCTCCCCATCTGAGACATTTCATCAGAGTTTAACATTCTTTAAGTTTGAATTACATATTTACGTTTAAAAAAATATATAATTTTATATATTTATATATATATATATAATATTATATATAATTTATATATATATATATATATATTTAGATTAGCCCCTGACTTCCAGTGTATTTTTGATGGACTGTGCACAATTTCGGCAGACACTGGGGTGCTGCTTTGCCCAGACTGAGAGCATTCTGTTGGTGCCCCTGTTTGAAGGGCTGCAAGTCACAAACATTAGTTGTCTTTTCTAGGCTCTAATCTCTGTGACTCCCGATGAGGAGACATACGATGAAGAGGATGCTGCCTTCTGCTTGGAGATGCTTCTGAGAATTGTACTAGAAAATAGGTATGACCTTGAAATACATTTATATTCGCTGTATATGTTTCTGCTTTACTGCAGCTGCTGACTGGATCTAGGGAATGAGCTCCTTATGTGCTTCGTTTGCCAGCTGAAGCAGCATGTGGCTATAATTTCAGGGCTTAGCAATTCTGTTCTAGCATATGCAAACATAGCGACTATTCACCCATGCATTATTGCTTTGATATCATGAGATCTGGAGAATATAAACTAAACACTGGAGGGAGAATTCACCCACCTAGTTGATTTGTGAGTAATTAAGTAAATAAGATACTTGACAGTTTTGTTGTTTCTATGTGCCTGTTCTTATATCTCTCTGCTGGAGTTTTTCTTTGAAGTTATGAAATACCAGGTTGTGAGGTTGTATGGAGCATTCAGGGTGGAAGGGGGAAGTAGCTGCATCCTGCTGGTCTCATCTCCTTTCATCCTACCCTTTCCCTCCTCCTTGTTGTGGCTAGGGACCGTGTGACCTGTGTCTGGCAAACTGTTCGAGACCACCTCTATCACCTCTGTGTCAATGCAATGGAGTTCTGCTTCTTAGTGGAGAGGGCAGTGGTGGGGCTGCTGAGGCTGGCGATTCGGCTCCTTCGTCGGGAAGAAATCAGTGCACAGGTAAGGGGAAGTCTGTTGCTGTTGTGTTGGGGTTTTTTTGGCTACATCTGGCAACATAGGAAAGCAATTACTGTGGGATGGACCCACATTTAGCCTGTGTGTGCTACAGGTAACAAGAAGCAGCAGTTGTAAGTAGCCCTAAGTAAGGAAGGAGGACTTTGCTGGACAAGGGAGTGTATATAATAGGATCTGTTATTCCTGCTGTCTCTTTCTGTGGCTAGGTTCTCCTCTCATTACGTATCCTGCTCATGATGAAGCCAAATGTGTTGTCCAGAGTTAGCCATGAGGTTGCCTATGGCCTCCATGAACTGCTGAAGACCAATGCTGCCAACATTCATTCTGGGGATGACTGGTACACGCTCTTCACCCTCCTGGAGTGTATTGGGTCTGGGGTAAAGCCACCTGCAGCCCTGCAGGTTACAGCAAGGGCAGATAACGACACAGGTAAGATAGGCCAGCTTTTGCTAGGAAATCTGATGCCCGCCTGCCAGATAAGCAGCTGCTTCCCCAAGCTTTTCAATTAGCAGAGGGAACTGCAAGAAAACAAAGCTGATATTAAACTACATTATCAAGATTAAAGACCAGCACCTGCTGTTCACTCCTACCCTATGGTCTGTCCCTGGCTCTACTCTGCCATCTCTTCGTACTCTGGGCAGCAGTTCAGGTGCTCCCTGGGGGAGCAGTGGGGAGGAAAATTGATACCAGTTGCAGCAGCTGTAGGTCTTTGCACTGCCCCATGGAGTATATTCTGGTGGTTGTGGTCTAGTGCCATGGGTAATATAGCCTTTAATCTCTCATCCAGGTGTGTAATGTAAACCCAGCTGTTTCCTCTTTTAGAGGTTTGTGTCCTCTTTTTAAGGATTTTTAAAGGAAGTAGTTCTTTAAACTAATATTTCCAAATCAGGTGGTTTTCAGAGTGCCCGAGCAATTCCTGTAAGACCGACCCTCTGTTTGCCACTTCTCTTGACTGTATTAATAGATGGTCTTTCCAGCAAACTGTTTGTGTTCTGCTTTAGCCAGCTGGCAGTGTATTTGAGGCTGACATCTTCAGACTTCTACAGGAAAAAAAAAAAAAAAGAAAAGAGAAAAAAAATTAAAGAAAGGACTTTCCTAAAAGGCTGTTCTCCTCTCTGCTTTTCTCTGGGTCCTGATTCTTTATGGTAAACAGCTTGTGGCCTTTGCCTTCTGGAGCAAATACAAGATTTTTTTTCTCCCAGCTCTTTTTTTACTGCTCCTGTCTTTACTGCTTGAACTAAGTACTTGACTATGGCATCCTATAGATCGCAACATTATTTCTCTTTACCTCCTGAAAACCTTTGGTGCACTGTGTTCACAGCAACTCTAGATGCTGGTGGATTTCTAGATAATGTTGAATGATAGGGGAAAAAACCCACAATTTTTGTTCAAGGTAACTTTATCACGGTGCCTTAAATTTGGCCTTTGCAAGGGTTTCTGAGGTTGGGACATGTGAAATACAAGGTTATCTTGAAGTTCAGGGAAGGTAGATTGGATAGATGTGGAATATGCATGAAGTAAACTGCTGTGAACAAGAAACACTTTACCAGTATTAATGTGGAGTTGCATGAGGGACCTCAATGGCCACACAAGTCCTATATTCTGCATTGTGCTTTAGAAGTTGCCTTGGCTGAACCTAGCACCTGCAACGGTTCTAAAACATGTGGTACATATGATTCTTCCCCTGGGATCAAGTTGTTGGAATTTGCCCTTTTAAATCCATGGTCAGTTGATAAGTGACTTAGCAGAGGATGGAAATTCCCTTCTTTCTGAAGGGGAAAAACAAATGTACATACCAGGAATAAATGCCAAGATCTGTGTTTCCTGCTATCTCCTGTGCATACTTCAGTTACAGTTGTTCTTCCTTTCCCAGGAGGAAAGGCCTGGCTCAGATTCTTCCAGGGCCCATCGGTGGTTCTTAGATAATGCTGATTTGGATTGCTTCTCCCTTATTCATAGCTACTCTTCCAAGTTCACTCTCTAAAACCTGTGCCTTTTGTCTTGAAGGTGCTCAGTCAGACAGTGAGGTCTCCTCCTATCATCCAAGTGACATGAGCCTAGACCGTGGCTACACATCTGATTCAGAGGTGTACACAGACCATGGGAAACCAGGCAAGATGCACCGCTCGGTGACAGATGTGGATATGATGAACAGTGGCTGGCTAGTGGTGAGTAACCAAGGGGCTTCTGGTGTCAAAAACCAATCCTAGTTTTTGGAAGAGGGTGTGGTAGCGAGATAAAGAATAAGGCTGTAGAAGAGATAGCTAAGATGATCTGACAGTGTAAAGGGAAGATGTGGAGAAGATGCAGATGGAGAGCAGAAAGCTAGGAGGCGAATGTTGAAGAAAGGGGAATTGATTCAGAAGAAAGGTTCTTTCAGCACGTGCATGCGCTGCAGTTTGTTACACTACTCCCTCCTGCTATCCTCTTGCTGTGCCCTGCAGGTGGGGAAAGATGACATCGACACCTCTAAACCCAGTGCTGGGCTCAACAGGCTGGGGCCTTCTCCTCTTGTCAACCAGTACAGCCTGACTGTGGGGCTGGATTTGGGTCCACATGACACAAAGTCTCTCATGAAGTGTGTAGAGTCCTTGTCCTTCATTGTGCGAGATGCTGCCCATGTGACACCTGAGAACTTTGAGCTTTGTGTCAAAACCATCCGCATTTTTGTGGAGGCAAGCTTGAATGGAGGTAAGGTGGCCTTTGATTTGACAGCTGGGATCAGGCTTGAGAGTGCCCAGCAGCATGAAGGGATGTGTGAAGTACTGTTGGGGAATGAGTCCCCAGCGCTTAGATAATCTTCTGCTATGAGAAAAGTCCCTGTTACTGTGACACAAGACAATAGCACCTAATGTGAAGGTAGCAGCATCAGCAAGTGTTGGTGTCCTGTTGATGCAGAAGGCTATTTCTGAAGGGTGCTGGGGTACTTCTTAAAATGAGTAGAACCATCCACTGGGGATGTCAGAAAGTGGCTGCTGCATGTGTTGAAAGGCTGAAAACATTTTGTGATGGAGTGTGCATATTGTATGTTGCTGCCTTTACCTTTTTAGGCTCTAAGTCCCAGGAGAAAAGGGGGAAAAGCCATAGACATGATAGTAAATCCAGTCGGTTAAAAAAAAAGCCAAAGGAGAGCTCCACTCGGCGATCACGAGTTTTGAGCCAGCACCAGGCCCACACACACAGTGATGAGGACGAGGATGAGAGCATCCCTGCCAGCTACCACACTGTGTCTTTACAGGTTAGTCAGGACGTAAGTATAGCAAGGATTTCCTCCTCTCCTTTCCCACACTAGAGACCTTGCTAGGGAATCACTGGGAATCTTCATGGGATGAGGGGAGGTTGTATCCTGGACTAGTGACCACTGAATGGTGAAGGTTAGGGCTGGTAGCAGAGTGTGGTTCTGCAGTGAGAGAGAAAAGCCAGAGGGTAGGTGTCTGGCAATTAGTCACTGCAGAAGATACAATGAATGTGGATCAAAGGAGTTTGGAGACAAGAAGTTCATGTGGGATTAGTGGAGAGTCTGACAGAGCATGTGAGCTTATGGAGAGCGGAGAACCTGGTGGGCTGGGACACAAGGTTTTCAAGTACAGAGGGCTGGGATGCAGGGGTTATTTCTCTCTATCTTGGTTTTCAAAAATGTGAAGATGCTGACTTAGCACTAGTCTTTTGGGCCACAGTTCAGTACTAAAGTTATTAGGATGCTGTCATGTGCCATTGGAGAGTTTTTGCACATTTCATGTTGCTTTAAAAAACTAAGTTGCAAGGAGACAGAGTTGTCTGTAGGCAGTGTAGCTGAGTCACTGTTTTTCTCCTTAAGTTAGGCAGGGCAACATGTATTGCAAATGCTCTGTGCAGGCCAAGGATCCATTCTTTCTCCTGGGAACTTTGGAATGCCACTCCCTCAATGAGGAAATGTATATGACTACTGATTGACAGTAATCTTGTGGAGGATACCCAGTAGTTGAATGCTTAGGGATTGCACAGATAACTGGGCCTGAAACTATCTCATAGCAGCTGGGATCCTCTTAGCATTGGCTTGGGAAGGAGCAGAGACAAGGTTTGATTCAAGAATTGTGTTACTTAATGTGATGCTTGACTTGCAGCTCCTGGATCTCATGCACACCTTGCACACACGAGCAGCTTCCATCTACAGCTCCTGGGCAGAGGAGCAACGCCATCTAGAGACTTCAGGGAGGAAAATCGAAGCAGATTCCCGAACACTGTGGTCGAATTGCTGGTGTCCTTTGTTACAAGGTAAAGTCATCCCCTTGTGATGAGAAGTGAGCAGAGAAACTTTCGATACAACATCAGCCCTCAGGAAAGTGGAGGAGCCAAGGGCTAACTGCAGATAGCAGGTAGAGGTTGGTTTTTAGGGTCTGCTGTGTAAATGGGAAAACAAAATGGGGTCAGATCCAGAAAGGTATCTTTAGCATGACTTAGCTACCAGCTTACTTCTGGTTGTGACAGTAGATTCCCAATCTGTGACCTAGAACAGGTATGATACTTCTTATTTTGTTCCTTCCCCTCAGTGTGTTTGGTCTTCATTAGCTTTCTCTACCTAGGCTGGGTGAGATGGAATGTGACACTTTCTCTGTGGGCTCTGCACTGAACCCCTCTTTTGCAGGTATTGCTTGGCTATGCTGTGATGCCCGACGCCAGGTACGGATGCAGGCACTCACCTACTTGCAGCGGGCTCTCCTCGTACATGACCTGCAGGCCTTAGATGCCTTAGAGTGGGAGTCGTGCTTCAATAAGGTAACCTCCTGGTTGGGCTGGGCATGCAGGTATGATAGCAGTCATGAAGAGCAAAACCCTTTGTAGGAGGCATAATGCTGTCTTGTTGAATAGTCTGCTCACCATAATACATAGGCATTTCCCTACTTTATATCTGTGAAATATTCCTCTCTGCTTAGGCTTCTGACAGAGCCTCTTGGAAATCAATCCACACGTTCAATTTCTCACTGCTTCCCTCATGCTCTTTGTCTAGAAATTAGTTCCAAAAGCCAGCTTCTTCCTTTAAGATGGTTAGATGAAAAGGACTGGATGAGATTTTCACAAAGAAATATCAATCCAACAGGTGCTGTTCCCTCTGCTAACGAAGCTCCTCGAGAACATCAGCCCAGCTGACGTTGGTGGAATGGAAGAAACTAGGATGAGAGCCTCAACACTGCTCTCCAAGGTGAGTGTGCTTCCGCTGTCTGAAAGCTCAGGAGAGAACATGTGCATAAAGAGAACAACATTGTTTGCTTCTCAGCATCTCTGATTTGGAGAGGTGTCAGTTTGCTAGTATGACTGTCTTCAGTGTTTAGCCTTTCCACCACCACCTGCTGCTGGGATGAGCCTTCATTCCAGAGATGTCTCCGTGATTTTGGATTCAGAAAAGTTGTCAGGAAGGTGTTTACAAACAGTGGAGAAAAGTATATCATTCAACATTAATTAAAGACAGTTTATTCTAGAGGTGAAGTGATGCTTGTCACAAGCCTGGGCCTGAAGGACTGCAGGAGGTGCTGATTAAAACTTAAGTGACCTCAGGCAAGAGAGACAAGATTCACTCTTCTGTATAAGCAGCTTAGAAGAATGGATTCCTCTGGCATCCTCTGGCCTTCTAGCCTGTCACTGGGAGGGGTCATTCCAGATTTGTAAGATTGGCTTACCAAGCCATGAACAGCAGCCTTGATACTGCTTGTTGACAATGGTTGTGCTCTTTTTCAGGTGTTCCTACAGCATCTCTCCCCGCTGCTCTCACTGACCACTTTTGCTGCTTTGTGGCTGACAATCCTTGACTTCATGGACAAATACATGCATGCTGGTTCCAGTGATTTACTGGTAAGGTGCTGAAAGTGCTGCAGTGTTTTGAACAATCATTCATGAATTTTAACCCTTTACACTTTGTTTGCTGTTTTGTTTTTTTTTTTTAATTTAACTCTTGCAAACCCATTTGTTCCACAGTATGTCCCTTTAGTCTCTGTTTCCAATGCAGCCCATCAGCTTTTTTTGAGTCTTTGTTCATTGCTGTGTGTCCCATCTCTCTGTGCTGAGGAGTGTTTCTGATTACAGCTGGAGGCCATTCCAGAGTCTCTGAAGAATATGCTGCTTGTAATGGACACGGCTGGGATATTCCACAGCGCAGACTCACGGACAGGATACTCTGATCTTTGGGAGATCACCTGGGAGCGGATTGACTGCTTCTTACCTAGGTTGCGAGATGAGCTCTTCAAACAAACAGTCATCCAAGGTACAAGGGAACGAGAAATATTTTTTAAAAATGGGCTTTGGGCCTAGTGCTTGGACATTGCTGTACCCAGCTGCCATAGTGCCTGGATGTTACTGATGATACATTCAGGAAGATATGAGAGCTTGGCATGAGGACAGCAAACTGAGGGTGGACGAAAGGAGAGAGTAAACTGGTGTAGTGTCTCACTGTTTGTTTGTTTTCCTAGATCCTGTCCCCAGCATACCAATGGAGCAGCATCCTCAGAAGTCAATAGCATCTGCCCTGCCCCCTTCTCCTGTGGGGGATGTGAGACCAGTCACCCACCCAGCTCCATCGGAGAAGCCTTCTGAACTGAGTGCTAGTGGTAAGTCCCATTTTCTTTTTTCTGGAAGTATCTTCCCAGAATGTGGAAAGCATAGATCTGCTTTTCCTTGCTTTGACCAGCTGTTCTGTGTTGTGGAACCCATTGTGTTTCCAAATGGTTTGGTTATGACCACCTTGTTGAGATTTTTGTGGATAGAGGCAAAGGCAGAATGCTGTGTTTGACATCTGCTCCTCAATGCCCCTTATGAAGGCATGTAGAAGGGGAAAGTCTGGGGAAAAAAGAAGTCTGAAAAGGTCCCTGAAACTGATCCTTAGTCTAGATTAACTTAAGGCTGAAGTTGACTTTGTCCAGGCCTATATAAGAATGTATTTTTCTCTTCTTTCTTCCAGAGTCTGAGAGAGCTTCTGCACCTGCATCTCCCACTGTCAGCAACTCTTCCTCTTCTTCTTTCACAGTATCAGCGCCAACAAAGACAAGCCCCGTTACAGACATACCTCCCACAACAGCACAGCCACCACTTATCCTGCAGCCTCTTGCCTCTCCCCTGCAGGTTGGGGTCCCACCTATGACTCTTCCAATCATCCTCAACCCAGCTCTAATAGAAGCCACATCTCCTGTTCCTCTCTTAGCTACTCCACGGCCCACTGACCCCATGACAACCTCTGAAGTCAATTAGCTTGAAGGTATCTGAGAACTGTCTGCTGAGGAGGCTCTGGCAGAGGATGCTGGCCAAATGTTCTCTGATAGCGAGCATGTTTGTTTTAGAAGATGATGCTAACCTGCACAGAAGGTAGCTGCAGCAAGCCCCCAGAGCACATCACATTTGTTCCTTTCCAGTGGCAACTGCCTAGAAATTCCTGACCGCTCCCTTCTTGGTATCCAGTTCCACTGACCAAGCTCCTTCCTGCCTTCACGATCTCAGGGGCCAGGCAACACCCACACTCAGCAGCCTGGGACCAAGCTGCCAATGTGTCATCTGGTGAAAAGGGAAAATGCATTGATTTAACACCGGCGAGGGGCAACAGTATAGGACTGCCTCTCACATTGTTCAGTTCAATCCCTGGACAATTCCCCAGCTGTTTCTTAACTTTCCTGCCCCTGCTTCTGGCCGCACTGCTTTATTTGGGCTGTGGGTATGCCTGGGCTCAGCAGGTTGAAAATTTTGCCTAGAGGATTGCTCACAGTGTAGTTTCCAGCTTGCTATGCAGGGCTTCTTGTATGCTGTAGCCATATGCTTTCCTTCTGCAATGTGGATTGCAATAATTCCCTGACCAGTTAGGGAGCAGGAGATCCTGGTAGGCACAGTGCTGCCTTCTTCCTCTCCTCCTATGTAAAGGCTGTCTGGTGGGCAGAGCAAATTCAGGAGGCTCTGCCTAGTTAATCAGATTAGGAGGAAATGCACAGCCCTGTCATGTCAGAGCAGAGCATCATGGCCATCTCTCCAGCAGCACTTGGGGAGCTACTCCCCCTGGGTTGCACAGCAGTGCTGCATTGTCTACCACTTGCTTCGTTGGCCCAGAGTTGTCCCCTCCTCTTCAGTCAGAGAAGATACTGGGATCAGTGGCACCTGCTGGCAGATGCCCAGCAAGTCTGCTGTGCTAAGGAGCAACTTTCTTTTGGAAGTTCCTGCGAAGATTGCACCTTTTATGCATTTTTCTGGTTGTCGGGAGCCCACCTCCTTTTCCACCTGGGGTCTCCTGCAGCTGATAGTCATCATTCCTTTTGTCTTGCAGCAAGGATGTCCTGCTCTTCCATCCCCTCATGTCCAGAGCAGAGCTGGCTGCCTGGCAAGCACTGCATCTCAGTTCTTCCTCCTCTCTTAGTTGGCTAAATTCTCAGTAATACCAATCTCAGAAATCCCACTGGTGACTGGGAGGGACACAGGCGTCAACGTCAACTCCAACCCAGTATATGCTGTACTGAGAGAAACCCAAGGTTGGGGTGGGAGTACAGCCAGTGTACATATGGGGTAAATGGCTTACAAATTCAATGGACTTTTTACAGTGTAATAAATACATCCTGTAAATGAGTGCTCTAGTGTTGCAAACCTTTTCTGTTGTAATTTTGTGGCCCAGAGCTTTGAGAAGAGTAGAGTTGAATTATCAAGGGTGCTGCACCTTTCCACCAACCCAGTGGCTCAGCATTCTCTAACAAAGCGAGGGGGAGTGGATGGATTTGTTCTAACAGCTGGTTGGTTCCTCTGGGGGCTGCGGTGGAGACAAGCCATGCAGAGGCTAAGTAGAAAAGGTTCCAGCGTAATTAAAAAGGAGCTGTAAGATTGGTGTTACGTTGGCGCCACACAGCCAGGACTGAAGGCAGAAGGCAAGAGCTGAATAGCAGGTACCCTGCAACATCTCAGCATACAGCCCCCTCAGTGACAATGTGTCTGCCCGCGTTTTCTGTCTGTTGAGGAAGAATTCATTTGCACTGACAGGACTCTGGATCAGCAGAAGCTCCTGGAGTCTTCCAGAGCTAGTCTTTGCATGGATGTGGGCAACCACACTCGCTTCCCTCATGGTGCTTTCTGCTTTGTGCTGTAGCAAGATCCACACAGTGCCTCTAGAGCTGTGCGAGGCATCAGTGCTTTCTGTTCTCAGAGAATTCCAGAAGACTTACAAGCTTGATAATGAGTTTTAAGAAGTTGGAATTTGTTTAAATTTCATGGGCAAAGGTCTAAATATTGCGTAATGGAAGTGTGACGCTCAAGCTAGGAAAGTCCCGTTCATAAATCCTGGTTCTTTTCCCCCTTCCACCATTTCTGAGGTGTTTTCATTCATTTAATCTTCTCCACCCTCTACTGCTTCGAAAGCTACGGTCCTTTCTGCTCTCAGATATTTTCCTTCATGTATTTGAATTCTTGCACTGCCTGCCCATGGTGCTTCTATAACCTATCTGCCCTGTACTTTCAAGCCTTGACTTCGATTTACAGCTCTGTTTTTCTAAGCTGCCTGCTGAAACCTTTAGATGATTAACTCTTTGTAAACCATTACTCAATTCTAAAGTGCCTTTGTGTGAGCACTGCTGCCCTCTGATCCCTGGACACTTGGCTAGCCCTTGGGCTGCTTGATGTGCTGTCACGTCGTGGCAAAGCCCAGCACTTTCTGCTGCCTGAAGATAGTTGTTTTGGGGACGCTGTGTTTCAAACTGTTCGCAAACCCACCCTGTACTTGGATCACTGCTACATCTTAATTCAGACAATTGTGGTGCAAAGCGAAAGCTAGCAGAGGGAAACTGCAGGAAATGGGACTGGAATGTAAAGAATGTAGGATAGAAAGACAAAATTGTGCTCTAGACAGTCTTTGCTAAACTGCAGATAGGAATGGACAGAAAAATAGATTCATTTCAGTGTTCTTGGGATTTTGTGATAAGGAGGTTTTGTTACAGAAAGAAACAACCAGAGAAATTGCTTGTTTTAGTGTGAGCTTAAAGGAGAAGAGGAATGAGCTGGCAGGTAGTGTGTGCTTGAGACCATTCTAGTGACCGAGCTGCCTTTAACCCTCTGTGTCCAAAGCCCTGGGACAGCGGCTGCTGGGGAGGAGGGGAGGTCCTGGCGCTGGCCCCGGGGTTTGTCCCAGCGTACACTTCTTCAGACTTGGACTTCTTTCTCATTTTTACGGGTCTGACTCACTGTTGTTCCAGAGGATGCTGGACAGACATCACAGCAGTTGGGGATTGCTTGCCTCTTGCCGTTCCAATGTACATACACCAAGAACTTCTGCAGCTGAAATGGAGCAGGCATAAATGTCAGCGATCGGCATGTGTCAATAGGACAGCTTACTGTGAAGCTTTCTAATGGGAAAAAGCCCTATTTAAAAGATAAGCTGTGGCTGCAAAACATAAATTTGGCACTGAGACTTCAAGTGCAGACTCTGAAGCGCTGCAGCTTTTAATCAGATGCACTATGGAAATAACAATAATGGCCAAGCACTGAGCGCACTCGGCAGCCCTGCTGTGCAGGTACGAGGTCAGTGAGGTGCGCCTCGCTCCTGGAGCTGCCAGCTGCCGAGCTCCTTTGGAAAATCTGCTCTTGTTCAAGCCAGATGCTTCCTGACCGCAGTCCCCACTGCTCCGCACCACCTGTGCATGCAGAGCAGCCAGCTTGGCTTTGCGCTGCCCATCCCCATTGTCCAGGAACAATCCCGGCCCTGCGGAGCTGCTGGAGGCCGCAGCAGCTGCAGCGCTGCCCAGCGTCCCCACAGTGGGTGGCATTGTTCTGCTGCCGCCACGCAGAGGGCTGGGGCGGGCAGCGAGGCAACGGCATGGGGGGGAGTGCGGCCTAGTAATGGAGTGGTGGAGGTTTGCATCCCTCGGTGAAAGCTTGGTGAAATGCTGCGCTCAAAATCACGGAGTGACCACGGACCTCTGAGGAACTCGGTGTGGACTGCGGTTCAGATTTTTGGGAAGATCTTCAGGAGCAGCAGGTCCCTGTGTGCAGCGCAGCACCCTGTGTTGCATAACGTCTGCTGGAGCGAGGTGGGGGCACAGGTAGACGAGCGTGGTGCTGCTGGGCCCTGCCAGGGCCTGCACACCCACTGGCAGCGGGAAGGCTGGGGGCCTGCAGCCACACGCCCGGGGCGGCACGAGGGTGTGCTGGGATGGGGTGCAAGCAGGAAATGTGGGTGCTGCTGCTGCGGCACGACCCGGCTGAACAGCCAGGGCCCACTGTGCTTCCTCTTCTGGGTGCAAGTCCACCAGTTAAGAAAAACAGCAGTGCAGTGGGACTGCGGGGCGACAGCTGATCCTCAAACCTGAGTGTAGGAAGGGTCAGGGCAGCAGACCGCGGTGTGCCTTATGCAGCTGGCAGGTGGACATCAGCGGCCGGGCTGCCGTGAGCCCTGTTCCCGCGTGTAACAATGCACGGGGAAGAGGAGGGAAGTGAGAGAGGTCCTCCCGGCCCGGCTGCTCCGCGGTGCACGGGCTCTGCGCGTGGAGCTGCGCCTGCCGTAGGGGGCTGGTATCGGAGGTACGGAGAGCATCGCTCCGGCGCGCAGGGCTCCGTGCGCGCCCGCTCCGTGCCCGCTGCCCCGCTCCGCGCCCCGCCGCTCGCGGGCCGGCGGCGCTGCCGCCACGTGGCGCCCGGGGTCGGGCCGGGCCAGCGCCGCTCCGCGCTGCCCGCCGGGCGGGGCGGGCTCTGCCGCCGAGTGGGACCCCGCGGGGCGGAGCCGGCCCGGGTTGTCCCGTCCCGGCGCGGAGCGGCGCTGCCGACCTCGCTCCTCCCGGCCCCGCGGCGGGCGCTGCCCATGGGGAGCGCGGCCCGTCGGCGGCCCGGCAGCACGAGACCCCGGCGCTCGGCCCCGGCCCGCGGGGCGTGCCCGGCCCCGCCATGCCCGCCTGGGCCATCCTGCCCGTCATGCTGCCCGCCTTCACGATCACCGGCATGTGGATCGTGTGAGTACCCGCGGCTGCCCCCGCAGCGCCCGTCCGCGGCTCCGGCTCGGGGGCTGTGGGGTCCCGCCCGCCCCGCTGCCGGCCCGGCGCCGGGGTGCTCAGGGCGGGAGGGCACGCGGGTTTCGTCGCTCGTGCGGGGCACGGGCTGTCACCGCTGCCGGCCCGGCTGCCCCGACTCGGCCCGGGCTGGCGGCCGTCACCCCGGCTGCCCCGATCTCCGGGGCCGGTAGTGCACCGGACGAAGGCTTTCCCCAGGTGAGGGCTGCCCCGCGCTCTGTCTCGCTGCTCGCTCCCCTGTTACGTGGCACCCAGGGCGACGCGGGGCTCCTCTCACCCGTGCCTTCTGTTAACCTGACCCGTCTGTCCCAGCGGCTGCAGCGGTGTGAGCTGCGCGGGGCTGCCGGTGGGCTGGGCCGACCTGCGCCCGAGGTGGGACGCGGTGACAAGGCGCTAGACACGGGCAGTGCCGGTGGGGCTCCCCCTGCTCACGCCTTCCCTCGCACTGCCGCAGGGCTGTCTGCTGTGGCGAGCCCACCTCGTACCCCACCTGCCCGCTGCCGCTTTTTCGTGCTGTACCCGCTTTTATCCAGCGCCGCAGTGAGGAGCTGAGTGAGGCTGATCTGCACGTGGAGCCCTGCCGGCGCTGGGCTGCTTCTCCAGCCTGCCCCGAGCCCGTGGCAGCGGGAGTGCGGGCGGTGGGGAGGGGACAGGCCACCAGAGCAGCCGTGGGAGCAGCTTCGGCTGCACAGGACCCCAGCAGAAGGCAGGGTCGGGGCGCTGCCACGGCCTGGCCCAGCAGGGAGCTCTGGCACAGAGCTGGGCTCGGCCGCTTACAGGGGCACGGTTCCTGCTCAGGGCAGCCAGGGGAAGGCGGTGTGCAGTGCCCTGCAGGCAGCCCCGGGGCGGTTGCCCAGGTTCATAGCAGTGACTCCGCTCTCGTTTTCCCCAGGTATGCCATGGCACTCTCCAACAACCACATCTGCCCTGTGCACAACTGGTAAGGTCGGGGCGGCAGGGCCCCAGTAACACGGGGGGACCAGAGGTCCCCTCCAGACGTCACCTTGCTTTACCCATGGGGGTTAAGTGTGGAACCACACGGGGATGCACCGCTTGCAAGGTTGAGCACCATGCTGCAGAGCCTCGAGGGCAGCCAAGCATGGCTGCAGCCAGCCCCCACTGCACGGTGGCCGGGCTTTGCTGCCTTGTGTGTGGGGACAAAACACTGAGCGTGGAAAAAGCATGGAATGAGCGGCCGAGGAGTTGCAGAGGGCCGTGTGTTTCACTGGGGAGGCTGAGCCCTGCTTGCTGGAGGCCAGTCTGGTGATGCCGGCGGGGCTGCAGGGTGCACCCAGCTGTGCCTGGGCTGGGGATGGGCGCTGGGAAGGGACCTGTCAGCTTGCTGTGCCACCCCAAATCTGTCCAGAAAACCTGAGTTAATTCTCACTAGAGAGCTTGAAGGAGGGAAAAAAACCAACTGCTGCTGTTTCCTGTCTGATGGCTTACTCTGTCTTGGGAAGAATGTGTTTGTCTCTGTGGCATAAACAGACGTTAATGATGAATAATGCTTCCGAACTTCAGGCTGCTTGCCTTAAAAAAAAAAAAAGAAAAGCTCCCAAACCAAACAGCACCACAAGGGCAGGC